GCGTATATTTTTTTTTTTTTTTTTTTCTAAGACCAGGAAATATTTCTTTATAGATAACGAACGGCAGTATATTTATGTTATTATTAGTAACGCTATCGTTTTTTTAGGTCAATAATGATAGAAAAATACGAACGAAACGGTTAAATAAACGTTATTGTTTGTGACGACGGGCGGCCTATTGGTTTCGGTACGGCATTCGAAGATTTCTCGCGAGTACACCCTGCGCGCTAATACACTAATTTTTACGCGCGATCAACACTATTATGCGTTCGGCGAAAAAAAAATTGTCGTCACCGGTCTCGTCGGAACACGGAAAAAGCGTTACCGCGACCTATCGGTTCCTCGCGAGAGATGCCCAATCCTATATTCGCGTATACGACGGTAATGTTAATGCCGGTTACCGAATCGCCGTTTTTATGCGGAATTGAATTTCTCGGTTTTTTTTCCGTTCGCGAAGTGTACGCGGGCAGAGGGATGAGTGGGGGGAGGGGGGCGAGTGAGGAACGGGCAGGTCAACGAATTCGCGAGTCGGTCGGCCGCGGCTTTTCGCCGTCCGCGGCGTACTTATTGTAAATAATATTCGTTCCAAAACGACAGTCACAGCGATATCTTACGGGCTAAACGCGAAACTATTCAACCCTTTCTGTGCGGAAGGGTTAATTCGGGGACGGGTGTCCGTCGGGCCGCGCCACCGGCACGGCCGAACGCACAGAAAGACCGCGGGAACGTTCCGGCGTCCCGTGCGCGGCGAAAGTTCGCGCGAATTTCCCGGCGCGTTTTCGGTGGTTGTTTCGAAAAACCGTAAGCGGACCGCGATTTTCGCGAATTCGCTCGGTTTTCGAACGGCGAATCGTCGCGGAAAAATACGACAATTTTCGTTTTCATTTTTTTCGCTCGGCCCAATCGGACTCTGAATGTTTTTCGGCCGCGTTTTATACGCACGTGTGTTGTATAAATAATAATAATAAAAAAAAAAAAAAAAAAAAAAAAACGTTTTTCTCGGACGCGTCGGTCGAGTTTTGTTCGTTTTTCCGTAACGGCCGTATATTATTGCGCGACGATAACGTCGTATCGTGCGGCGCTGTCGGTCGCGAAGACGGTGTGAAAGGAAACGAAAAAACGGTCGGGCGGGCGGTGCGGGCGGGCGCGAAAAAAGGCGAAAATAAGAATGCGCGGTGGGAAAACACCCTCGCGTCTTCGGCGGCGGCACGGCGGTGGCGGGACGGCGGCGCGGCGGCGGAGGGCGACGCGTGGGGGCGGAGAGCGAGTGAGTGAAGAGAGAGAGCGCTAGGGGCGGACGCCGGCGCAGAAATAAGCACGTAAGGAAAACGTCTGGCGCGACGCGGCGCGGCGGTGTGCCGCGGCGCTCGGTCGGTTCCTAAGAGGGAAAACCCGACCCCTATCGCGCGCGGCCGTAGAAAAGGACGGAGCGCGGCGTCCGGCACACGCTCCCGACAAGGACGGCGACATGTCCGCGACTCCAAGACATCTTGGCCGCGTATCTCCTCAGTCGCGCCGCGACGCCGACACAAGACGCCACCGCCGCCGCTCTTACCGCCGCCGCCGCCGCCGCGAGTGCTGTACACGCGCACACACGCGCACACACAAACACGCTCACAGCGCCCGGCGCGCGTACAGCCGATACGTTTTTCCGGCCCGGCGTCTTGAGACGTCGCTCAGTCTCAAGACTACTCCGGCATCGCGAACACCTTAGGTGCCCGCGACTTTGGGTGTGCACGCGCGTATACGATTTATACACGTACGTACTCGCGGAAATTTTTAATATTCGCCCGGTCCGCCGATCGTTTTTTCGCGTCGCTCATTGCCGCCGCACGACTCCCGAGAGTTTATTGTTGTTGTTATTCAATTTTTTTTTTTTTTGTTTTTTTTTTTCCAACGGAATTTTTTTTCCTTTCCGGAAATCGAAAGAAATTAAATTTTTTCTCCGTGATTTTTCATTCCGTGTTGTTGTTTTTTTTTTTTGTTCGCAGATAAATTATACTCTGTTCACTTACCGCGCGGCACGTAATCGCGTAACGCTGTACCGAATTTATTACGGAAAAGCCGGAAAAGCCTTGCGCGCGACGACAATATGTGCGGCTGCTACTGTACCGTCGCCACCCATCGTTCCGTCTGACGGTCTCCGCCGCAAAAACGACCGTCGTCCGGCCAACACCGGACACTAGAGAAGAGCACTTTGTTTCGCAATAGCCAAGACGATCTCTTCGGTCCCGCTGGATCTTCGCGCCTCGCCCGGCCACGAACACCTGCAGGGCGACGACGACGACGACATGTCCGCGGACATACAGCAGCAACAGCAGTCCGTGTTGTTGCAACGGCCGGTGTTCAAGATGAACCCGGCCGCCGATTTTTGGCAACAACAGCGGCAACAATACCAGCAGCAGCAGCAGCAGCAACAACAACAACAGCAACACATCCAGCAGCAACAGCAACTCCAACAGCAGCAACAACAACTACAGCAGCAACAGCAACAACAACAACCGCAACTGACGGTCGTTTCGTCACCGTCGCCGCAACCTCAGACGGCGCCACCGCCGTCCGCGCTACAACAGCAAGTGAACCATGACCTGCAGCAGCAGCAAGTGCAGCCGTCGTCCATCGCGGCGGCGGTCGTCGGACAACAACAGCAGACGCCGAACAGTGTGCAGGTGACGCCCGACGAGGCGATCGCCATGGTCGCTCAACGTGTCGCGCAACACCAACAGCGACAGCAGCAACAGCAGGCCGCGCAAAACGTCGACATGGCCGACGAAACGGACGTGGTCGTCGGACAGCCGTCTCCGGCCGCCATCCGCGCGGCCGTCCAGCAGCAGCAGCAGCAGGACTCATCGGCGGCCGCTGTCGCGGCCGCGCTGACCGGACAGCCGACGGCCGCCGGCGATTCGGCCGTGTCCGTCGTCATCAATCAGAACAATTCGCTAGTGTTGAGCGATCCGAAAATGATGACCGAAAAATTGGTCAGTGAACTACAGGTGAGTCAAATGTTGTTTCAATTATTTCACGTAGGTCCGTCGAAAACGTTTTACGCAACTAATATAAATAAAAAAATAAATAAATAAAGCTCGTTTTATTTTTTCGTTTTTTTTTTTTTTTCCATTCCGTATTATACTAACAGCGTAATATTATTACGTCGGCAAGTGTGTTACCGGATTTTTTTTTTTTTTTTTATCGATAAATGTCTTTTTGAATATTAAACGCAGTGTAGTTTGGAAATTGAAAACATAAAATATTATAATGACCGACACGATCGCCGAAAAACCGTATCGTTTCATACGTGTAAAAATAAATAAATAATTTTTATTTTATTTTATAATTATTAGATTAGTTTTTTTTTTTTTTTTTATAACAATATAAAGTAATTAGTATTTTTCGCGAAATAATTATAAAAATAAAATCGCAGTGAAAATAAACTAAAAGCGAAATAATAATCGCGTATAGGAAATTTAAAATTTAACTAATTCCGTAATTATCTTCAAAATTATATTAGGTATTTTTTTTAGTCATTTTTATATTTAAATATTTTAATTTTAACTTCGAAATAAATGGTTATTAATCAAAATATTACAAAAAAAACAAAATTACTCTTAACTAAAACCCGCGGTTTAGTTCAAAGCTGAAATTTCTATTTATTTAAAACAAAAAAAAAAAAAATAAAAAATAAATATTTTTATTATTATTCCCGCGACCGTCGCGCGTAGACATTTGTTTTCAAAAAAAATATTATTTTTAAGCGAAAAGAATTTGCGCACGTGCCCCGCGCAACGAAATATCTTTGAAAAAAAATATATAATTATTTTTAAAGTATCAGAATAATTATTATTATTATTATTCCGAGGTGAAAAAATACAAAAAAAAAAAAATAATAATAATAAGAAAAAATAAATGTTCAAATAACGCGTTGAAATAATATTAATACGAAATGAAAAAATCCACGCAGATTGTTGGCGCGATATCAAATAGAATAAACCAAGCCGCGATGATGCGGGGGCCGGTAAAAAAAATATTATAATACAAATATTAGCCAAAAAAGTAGTGGGCAACTCGCGTGTAAAAACCGATGATATTGACAAAAATCGTCTCATTTCACATACGTTCCGTTCGTTTTTTTGTTTCTCGCACAATTTTTCGATATTACCGAAATCGTTAATTTTTTCGCTGTAGTAAAACATAAAATAAAATCGGTTCATTTTTTTTATTCGACGTCAACTCTATACAATCGTTAAAAAATAAATCGTCAATCGTAACTGCAACAATCTTTTGACTCTGGGCTATCTAATCGTATTGAACTTAAGTTGTCTATCCGATTTTTCCGGGAGGGAGGAGGGGGGGGGTCTACGATGAGACGACGCGTATATCCAACGCGCGTTTTTCGACGGCCGATTTTATCGCGACGTTCTCGAATAACAATACCCCCTCGGTAATACTGTCGCGAATTTCCATTGCCGAAAGAAAATGTCAGATAAAAAAAGAACCAAAAAAAAAACAATCCGTAACGGAAAATAACTACGAAAACGTTAAAATATCCCGTTTTCAATAGCTTAAATTCAAACGAGAGACAACGAAAATTCGATTTGCACAATGACAACTGTCGGTATTTTTTTTTATGATTTTTTTTTTTTTTGTCTTGTTAAATGCATATAATACAAAACACGGTGTTATAGAAAACGTAATCAACTTAAATACAAACCGAGATGAACATTTTTCGCAAAATCTCGGAAAAACCGCGCAAAACAATACAGTACCTAATAATAACGCGTGAGCTAATCGTAATCTATTTTGTTTTTTTATTTTAGTTTTACTGAGAGTTTAAAACGTCGTTAAATCGAGTAGGTTTTTTTTTTTTATGCTTACTTACGCGCTAAAATACGTTGTCCACTCCGAAACCGAATAAAACCGTGAACAAACAAAAAAAAAAACAAATAAAAATAATAAAACTAAAAAACAACAACAAAAAAAAAAAGAAAAAACGATAAAAACTGTAGAAAAACAACAACCGTAGACCGAAAACGAATTTACATTGTGTTACATTTTTAACGATATCGCGGCCGAATTGTGAAATCGAAGCGTACGACTGGACGCGATGTCCGCGGCCTCCAATATGTGTCGCGGTCATTGTCGCGGCCCCGTAAACAGCCGCGCGGGGTAGTTTTTTCGTTGTCCGCCCGGTCGTCCGGCGAAAACCGGTCGGCCGACGAGCACGGGCTACCGTGGGGGCTCGCCGGGCGCGCAACCGGATGGTCGCCGCGACGTGTTGCGCAACGCGCGCGACCCCTATTAACATTACAATACGCCGCGACGGGGGGATTTCGAAACGCGGGCATCCCTTTTCAGCCCCCCCTCCACCCCTCCCAACCACTCACCAGCGATTTCGGGGTGCCGACCGCCGTCCGTACCGTCGGCCGCGGCGGACCGACGAGCCGGTCTTTTTGTCTCCCCGCTCGCGGTTTCGACACGATACTTAATGCGTTCACGGAACGACTCGGCGTCACGTCCGAATGTACCGCGACCGTGTAGGCACGTTGGCGATACGGGATAATAACCGCGGCGGATTTTTTTTTTTATTATTTTATTATTATTATTTCCGTTTCTATCGGCGACGCGATCGAATACGGAATTTAATTTTTTTTTTTGTTTTTCTAAAATCGCGCAAATTTCGCACTACGTAAAAATAGGCGTAACTTTACCGCGGACGGGGTGGTGGCGGGGCTACTATGAGACTATGCGCGGGGGAGGGGCGGAGGAGACGGAGGGCGGGCTAGCGCGGAGGGGGGGACGCGCGAGCGGTTCGAGGACGGACGGGACGGCGAAAAGGAACGGCCGAGGACCTGCGCGTGACGCGCGACCGTTTGAAAACCGTGCGGCCCGCAGTGGCGCGCTCTTTATCGTTCCGCGGCGCGCCGACTTTACCGCCGCCGGACGCCGGCACCGTGCCGTAGTGGCCACGTGAACGCAACTCGAGTCGCAACCCCTTTGACCGACGCGGGCCCGAAAAACACACGCGCGCGCCTCTCCGGCTATTGCGCTTCCCGAACGGCTGTTTATACACGAGGTCTCGGGGTCGCCGTGATAATTCGAAAGGCCCCGGGGTAAAGCGATAATACAGTGGACCGTCGCTTATTATTTATTTATTTTTTTTTTTCTAAAATTTAAATTAAGTAAATTTTTTTTTTTTTTATCCAAACTCGTTCGAAATAAAAATCGTAGAACAATAAAATGTCCGGAACGTCGCAGACTATATGATATTATCGTTTTTCCCCGCAGCCCTTCATTTGTACGCGGCGACGGACGAGAGTCGGACGCAAATATCATAATAACATTTTACAGTTGGTCGCGACTTTTGACGCAAAACCGCTAAAAAACAAAACTGAGAAACCGAAAGGTTCGATGTATTAAAAAAATAAAACAGAGCGCCGTACTGGTGCAGAAAACGATTTATAGGGTCCTGGGGAGGAGGAGGAGGCAACAACGGGAACAACAGTATGTGTAAATTCTACAATTTGCTACAAAATTGTATACATTTTAATGTTTACGTTGTTCCTACTGTCAAATACCGGGCTAACAGACAAACGAAACCGCAACAATCGGTTGTATTAACACGTCGAGCGTCATCATCACGGGTCCCGAATGTGTCGGTCTCGCTTGTTTTTGACCAAAGCGCCGAGGGGGTTATTTTTGCCATTGGTCGCTATTATAATAATTTCGGAGGGACAAAAAAGATCCAAATGATTTGAGATTTAAAACAATTGATAACGAGAGAATAAGTAAACAACTCAATGCGTCGCCATATACGAATACCAAAACGAAACGTGCGCGGCATAAATGGGTATTCGGTATACCGGTAAGAAACAGACCGAGATAGACGGGTGGGTGGGTGGGTGTATGCAAAACACTTAATCATATTATATGCTAACAGAAATAAGGTGAAGCGCAGGAATATCTAGTGGCTTTATTTATAGCCCCCGATTCTTCTGGGCTCGGGTTGTATTAGGTTAATTTCAATTTTATCGAAACTGTTTCGTGGAAGGAAAAACTTCACGCCGCCGCTAGCGGCAGCACTGTAGTACTGTTTACGGAATCCTTTTTTTTTTCGAGATTTCGATAAAGTTCAATACCGAGTCTCGTTGTAAAACAAAGTGGCTTTATATCGAAAACCCCTCGGCGCTCGACGTGTTAATTTAAAAGTTCCCCCGGACTATTCTTTTGGAGAGTTGCGAAACCAGACGTTTTTACACCCAGTATTAAAATACCGTACACGCCTTATGCGGTGTTTCCCGGCCGCACCTCCTCCAGACCTTAACAATCATAAAACGCGAAACTGTTTCTTTCCGAGTCCCGTGTGAAACTGACAAATACAAACCTAATCCATCGGTAAATACACTTAACAAAAATACGCGAACACGCATCCGTGAATACTTTACGCGCGGTTCTCCCCTTCCCAGAGCAGTACCGCGCGTTGTACCGTTTACAACGCTCGCGCTCTATAAAAACACAACTGTCCGGTACCCGATAAAACGGGAATTCCCGATATTGTCACCGTATATTACGTAATGTCGGTTATACGCTGCGGTTTCCGGTCCGGTCAGACCGACCGAATCGAACCGTACACCGAGTACCCACAGAGGTACCTCTCCGTAGATCCGTTAAGTTAAAACGGTTTGACCACTGCCGACTGACAAAACGATAAAAAAAAAAAAAAGATAAATTTAACGTTGTAATAATTGTTGTTGACAGCTGACACAGGCGTTTTACTGTTACTCATATGATATTGACGTTTTACTAATGTTATAATATACACGTTGTTTTTGTTTGATTTTAACCGTTGAAAAAAAAAAAAAAAAGAAATACATTTCGTGTATTTATGTTATGTTAACGCCGCTTTGTTGTGGATTCACCGTGTGCAGAACCGATCGATATCAGACCGCACTCTCGAGGAATGCTGGTCCACACTCCAGCGGGTCAGCTGGAACGTCTTTCGTTCAGTACGCTATTTTTTATAATATATAAATATACTACAATAGTTAATTGATACGCTGTTTAGTCGTACAGACAGACGTATGTTGGTTTTTTGTTTTGTTTTTGGTTTTTTTTTTTTTTTTGAATTGCGTGTGTTTTATAGAAATATTATTACGTGTGTGAAACAATTTTTGTTTCGTTGTTATTATTATTATTATTATTATTATTATTATTATTATAGTCGTCGCCGTCGTTATTTTGCTCACTTTTTGCCCGCATGCGTTTTTATTGCCCTCCCGAAATGTCAAAATGGCTTTTTATTATTTATATATACACAATATACAATATACCTGTATATTATTGTTGTTATTATTATTATTATTATATATGTAAAACGAGTAAAATTTGTTTTTTAGTAGTGCTGCACGTTCCTTTTTCGATATAGGTACTGCTATACTTTTTTGTGCCGTATTTATGTACAACCTATTATGTACACTTATCTATACTTACCTACCTATAATAATACGATTTAAGTTTTATAAAATATCGTATTGTGTGTGTGTGTGTGTGTGTGTATGTACGTGTACGCGCGCGTACGCCGTGAGTCTCGATGAGGGGTGGGCGAGGGACTGCAGGGAGAGCGTATATATACACACATACATATATAATATACGCGTTGTAAGTATACTAAAAATGTACGCCGAGAAAAATACACCGTGTATTACGATATAATAAACGGGGAATCGTAAAGTCTTCGAGTCACGCGACCGTTCTACCTACGGACGTCTCCTGTCGACGTACGGCGGGCGTAATGTACGCATTGTACAGGCGAAAACCCTTTGCGGCGCGGGGGCGACCGTGTGGAAAAAATCGAGTTGCTCATTTGGTTCAATCACGAGAAAAACCGTTCGTACAGCGTCGCCGCGTAACGGCCGCATTACGGTAACGCGTGAGACCGATATCGGCGTGAAAACGTATCCCGTCGCTCGTGTTTCGCGTTTTTTTTTGTTTTTTTTTCTCCGACGGTGGTGCGGGGGTGGGGTGTCGAATAACAATCGTCTGAATCCGGGGACGCGTCCGGAATACTTCGGTTCTCTTTTCTTCCGTACACACGTCGTGCCCGACGGCACGGGCCGTCCGACCGAAATATAATATACGTTTTTTTAGACGTTGTTTTTTTTTTTTTCAAGTTTATTTTCCAAGTCGGCGCGTATGTTGTCGCGTTCTACACGCCGGGTAAAAAGTACTGAAAAATCCGTTTTGTTTTTACGTTCCCCGATTTATTTCCGCCGCGAAATTCCGGGCGGTTTATTTTTTCGCACAAACGCGACATTCCCGACGGGCTCGCGTCGATCGGTTTTCCCCGCCTTCGGACCGCGTACCACCGGTACAACGTTGTCCGACCAATGTCCGCGGCTTTTCCCCGGTCAAAATAACACGCGCCCGCGCCCCGGTCCCCGTTGACCCCCGGGCCGCGGGGAACGGGGGAACGGCGAACCGCCCGCTCCTCCGACCGTTCCCGACGCGGCAATAACGCGAGCGATAATAGCACGCGAATCGCGAATATCGGCCGTCAATAATCTTCCCGCCGCCGCCGCCGCCGCCGCCGCCGCCGAGATAACGATCGTCCCGCGGTAAAATATTCCATTTTTCTTGTTACCCGCATAATAATGCCCGTGCATAACGACGTGTTCCCGTACCCGTGCGCGTATGTCGCCGCGCGGGCACCCGACAGGATCGATGACCCTGCATACGTATTGCATACGATACGCGCGCATGGGGTTTTGCATGACGTCAATTAAAAACGTTTTTTTGTCGTAACAAAGGACGTGTATTTTTCCTACTGTTTCGCCGACGCCGCCGCCGCCGCCGCCGTCTCCTCGGCCCGGCATCTCATCCCGCCGCGCGGCTTGCCGTGTGCGATTGTGTTTTTGTATGTAAATACGCGCGCGCGCACGTCCGTCCGCTATCTCCGATTCCGCCGATTCCAAACTCAATTAACGACAATTCATTCTCTTGCCCTTGCCCCTTACCCTCCCCCGCGGTTTTTTTTTATTTTTCCCCGCGTTCCCCGCGTCCCGACGTGAGACGCCGCGGCCGTGCGCTGACGCGATGTTAATTAGACGTGTACCGCCGATACGCGAGATCGTCTATAGACTTTTTTTTTTTTTTTTTTTTTTTCTATTTGTTACCTATAACAATAACAATAACGTACGCAACGTAAAAGTCATCGGGACCGTCCGTCCGTCCGTCCGCGGTTCATCTCCGGGCGACCGTGAGAAAATACCGTTTTAAAACAGCTGTTGGACACATTTTTTTTTTCGCTCCCCGTCCCTCCCCCGTCCGCCCGTTTTATACCGGCCTATTGTTTTAAATATAATATAAAAAATAAAATAAACCCCAGTTATTTATATTATATACAGTTTCATTATGTTATTATTGTACGGCACGTACACACGCCCGGGGGCAATCCGGTTCGGGGCGGCGGCGGCATTTGTTTAGTTCTTTTTTTTTTTTCTCCGCCGACAAGAGAGACGGAACGATTAACAATCGTCATATCTCTCGAAACGAAAACGCCAGTTCCACCAACCGTTTTTGAAATGCCGTCGACAATTACTACCGTCATATAATTGTCCATCCGCGTGTTCGGTTTACCGGTTAAATCCGCTACGCGTTCGATTGATTCGTTTTGTCTTCTGTGTGTTACACTATTCTTTGTTCGCGTCGTCGCGTTCGTTACACAAGTAAAATATAATAACATAATCATTATGCAGTTTTCCGTATAAAACATGTACTAATTTCATATAATTGTGTTACAATAATATTGTTCCGTACGATAAGCAATAACGACGTTTAAACACACGATAATCTCGTTTGAAATGTCTGTTGTTTTGTTGTTTTTTTTGTTTCCTATTTATTTATAAACATTACATTATAATCACAACGTTCTAAAGTTCGTATGATTTCCGCGGTTCTTATTCATTATTACACGATACACAGATATCAAGCCCGTTACTGTTACGCGACGGCGATGAGTTTTCAATCGCGAACAAATGAGAAACGCACCTACGCATCAGTTCCGGTGTCGTGTACAGGAATGATCGGTTTAACACAATGTCAATAAAGCGACAATACGGACGCTATCCCGTAAATCTCTGTACTCGGATTTTAGCTGGCATTCGAACGTCCTCTATCATAAAAAAAAAACAACGCCAAATTCATTCCTATGCCTATAAATTTAAATTTCAAATCATTCGCGTATGTGCACATTTTTTTTTTTAATCCGTTACAATTGCGGTGTTGTTGTTCCGTCATTGCCTGAGGGAGATATATAAACACCTATAATTATAGCGAAATATCACAATTTTAAAACGCTTGTATCTCGCATAGAGATTAAAATTTCGAAAAAATTCCCGACTTGGTTTTACGTACAGTTTTCTTATTTTTATAATGAGTCAATGATACGAGGTGGACGCCACACCGCATATCGGTCATATCGGTCTGACTAACGGGGAAACATGGCGAAATTAAAATTCTTAGAACGTGAATAATTGCGACAATTACATTTAAATCGGTTAATTTAAACGTAAATGACAACATTTAAAAAGGAAGAATATTTCAACGTACGTAGAGCGCTCTTCTGAAAAAATGGCCTTACAAATATAGGTTACGGATCAAATGGCTATAACTTTTTTGTATCGTGACTAAAAAAAAAAAACACCTTCGCACAGCGCATGAAAATATTCTCATCTTTAAATGCGATTATTTGTATTTAATTTTTTTTTTTTTTTTATATAAATACGTATAACGGAAAACGGGTAAAATAACGCGCGTCGAGATTCGCCGGGGACCTGTACCGATAACGATTATTCCAATGCCGTTGAAACGACCGTCGGCTATTGCCTATAATTATGCGCGGTACAGTAACGTGAACGGGGTACCGGGAAATTCCTGCTCGTAGTAATAATTAAAAAAAAAAAAAAAAAAAAAAAAACGTTCGAAAAACCGTATAATTTTCAGCTTTCATAGTAAAATATCGCCCGCGCCCGTATCCGTCGGTCCGACACGAAAATGGCCGGCCGGTGCGCGTACCGCGGGCGAACGATATTCGGACGGAAATATAATAATAATCGCATTCGTTTTAATTAGCGTGTCCGCCGTTATGGCATTCCGATAAAATAATATCATTATTCGTGTACGATATTTTGAATTTTTTATTTCGTTTTCATTTTTTCCGCTCTCGTCGCCGCGGCGCGGAAACAATGATAATGATAATGACGATGTTAGAGGCGGCGCGGCGAGTCGGAATCGGCGGCGGAAGCCCGATCCGTGAAGCGGTCCGAAATCCGAAGGCCCGGCGGCCTCTATTATGTTATTATCGTCGTCGTCATTATTGTGTAAAACAATGCCGGAGCGAAAATCGAACGGGGAGAGCGACCGGGGGCGGGGGGGGAGAGAGGGGGAAACGAAAAATAGACGCGGAAAAAAATAATTATCACGGATAAAAAACGCACAATGCGTCTCGTATAGAGTCGCCGGACCGAAGCGACGGACGATTATCATCACGGCGTACGTACGTATACACGTGTACGAATACGTATCGCTGGGCAGCGGGCAGGGTAAGACGGGTGTACGGGATAGGTGGATGCGCGCGCGTGGCGATACTAATTGCGGATGAGGGGTAGGGGGACAGCCGCGCACAATGGCCGCGCGGCGCAGGTCCCCGGACCCGGCAATTTCGTATATTATACACGCGGGCCGCGTAGAACAACAATAACAATGATAGTGACGGTAATAATAACGACGATAGCGAATATCGTATACCTGGGAGGGGGGGCAGCCGCCGCCGCCGGTTTAAAACCGAAACGAAAAACGTCGTCGGGGCTTCCGAAAGGAATAAATTCGTACGCGGCACGCGAGAAACCGCGACCGGCGGCCGTAAATAAAACGCCTCCCCGGGTTTCGTTTTTCTGCCGCGATATATTATAATTCGCCTCTTTTATACGTTGCGTATGCGAGCGTATATTATTATTTCGAATATATGAGAAAATCCCGCGGCTTTATTGCGTATGCGGGTGCGGTGCGTCCCGGGGCGGGACCCTCGGAAGGCGAAAAAAAAACGACAACGGAAAAAAAAGAAAAAAGAAAACGATAATTACCGTTATTTCGTGTGTCGTGTTAGCCCGTCGTATCTGATCGGCGGACGAAATACGCGGCCGTCCGCACGATCGGAAAATAAAATTTATCGCGTTTTTATGCCGGTTCGGTTTTTTTTTTTAAATTTTCTAGACCGCGGCGATAAGGGGGTCGAGGGGCGGCACAAAACAGTCGGTAAACCGAAAACGTCGCGTTCACGGGGTCGGGCCGCCCTGTGAAAAAACGTCCCGAGACATATTTATCACGCCCGGCCCTCCCCGTATCCGCTTTTATTACTTTCTATCGGTTTCCCCGACGGCCTCCGCTATTACCGGTCACGGCCAATAGCGAAACATCTAACCGCCGATTACCGACGGGCCCTCCCCCCCCCCCCCCCGAACGCCGTTTCACGGATTTACAGAAAACCGCTAAATCGTAGCTCGTGTTTCGTTGCCGCGTCGATTGGTCCAATTGTCATCCGATCACTCAGATTGTCCGCGCGCCTCGTCTTACCGGATTTACCGGGGCGCGGGCCCAGAACGACCCCGCACGTTTACCGCTTCGTTCCGCGGTAGGTGCGCCCGGCACTGAACGGTCTCGGCCCCGACACCTGTAAAATCGATAGTCGACACGGCGTACTGGGCCCGCGTCGGCCGCGCTAACCGTCAACCGAACGCAATCGGAAAACCGAACGATCCAACAACAGCGGCCCCCTCGGGTTCGGGGACGGCGGCGGGCCGGCGCTTTTGCAGCGCTCGGACCGTTGTGAAACGGTTTCGCGAACGGCCTAGACGGATCGCGACAATTATCGCGTCACGACCGCGATTCCCGGTATTGGTGGAGGGGGGGGGAGGGAAACGGTCGCCGTGCGGTCATTATGTTATGTTGTTGTGATGTCGACGAGTCGGCGGATTGTGATAACGTTACGCGCGCAACGGCGGACGAACGACGACGGCGCGTAACGATATTATCGTTATTATTACAATAATACTCTCTCGGGAGAGAGACGGCCGGAGAAAGAGAGAGAGAGAGTGAGAGAGAGAGAGTGAGAGAGTGAGGCTTTTAACGGCGGCGGCTGGCGAACCTCTTCGTCGTCGTCGACGGCGTTTGGCGCGAGTTCGTTAAACGTCTGGTGACGTAGCGCTTTACGACGCGCGATAAAGAGAACAGTTGTACGGCAAAACAACACACTCTGCATAACACGCGCAAACACACGCGAACAAACACACACATACGCGCACACGCACACGCACACGCGTTAAAGAGATCCCGACCTAAGTCAACGTTAGCCTAGGCGAAATAAGTAATAATAATAATAACGCTAATGTTCAGTATCGTTTGCGACTCCGTCCGTCCAACAACCGCGGACGACGACGCGCACGACAACAGCAATACTGCCCCGCGGCCGCCGTTTTTGTTTGTTATTGACGTTGTCGGACGGCGGATTATCGCGCCGGTAACATTCGTACCCGGCCGACCGCGGGTAATCGAAAATCGGTCAGGCCCATTACCGGCCGTGCGCGGTTCACGGTTTTTTTTATTTATTATTATTTTATTTTTTTTTCGCGACCCCGCGGCCATCGATTACCCGACGCCCGCCGCGGGACGATAAAAACATGGACGCGTTCCCGAACGAATTCCGCGTTTGATGGCTCGCCGCGATAACGTTTCACGCAGCCGTCGTTATTATGAAATTCAATTTTCCGGACTTTCAGAACAAAGTGAGTACCTCCCCATGCACACACAACACGGCCGCAGCCGCAGCCGTACACCGGAGTTCCGTGTTTCACGTGTGTACACGGTCTCGCGCGAATTCAACACGCTCGTGCACGAAAAATCCGCGCGCGTACGTTTCGCGTTATTTTCCGCGCGGCTAATTACCACGCGGTTCAGTCGGTTTCTACAGCGGTAAAAACTCGCCCCCGGAAGACGCGACGACGGCGCCGCCGGACGCGTGCCCGACACCCCGCGCTCGAAGATTTAACTGGGTCGATCCCGCCTCCCGCGGGGAAGTTTTTTCCATTTTTTTATTTTTTATTTTCGTTTTTGTTTACCCGAACACGGGCGTAAGTACCTTTTTAACGGTACGCGGTCGGACGTCATGCGGTCGGCGACGACGGCCGTACGGTTTCCGTCGCGGCGAACGAGCGCCGCGAATCGGTTTCGTTTGTTTACCTACCTAATTATTTCTCGTAATATTCGATCGTCTGTCGCGGGCATTGTTTTTTACCGGGACCGTTCCGTCTGGAAACGATCAATCGACCGGGACGCCGGGTCGGGCGGCTGCTTACGAGACGGGAGCAGGGGGGGGGGGTAGGGGGTGGGGATAAAGCACGACGCAATCGATGAGAAATTCGAGCTTTTTTCGAGACCCGGCTTTTGAAACATGACTGCCGATTCCGAGTCGGGGGTAGAGTGGACGACGGTTTTGCGATTGTCGTCCGCAGCCGCGCGGCCGCGCGTACGTCACCTCCGGTCGAAAATTCCCCGACGCGACGCCGAGGACGGGCATCGCGGCCGCGTCCGCGGGCACGATAATCGCGCGCTTGCGCGGGGTTGTTTTCTTCGGTGTGACACAATAATTATAATAATAATAATAATATTATAACATTCGACCGGATTCCTCGGGCGCGGTGTCCTCGTCCGCTATTTTTAGACGCGTTCTAATAATAATACCGGCGACCGGTCGTGAACCCGCTGTACGACGCCGACCGGTCCCCCTCTCGCTCCCCCCCCCCTTTTTCCTTTGACCGTCCGTCTCCCTCGCGAGAATCCGAAAACGTTTTTTTTGGCAACCGATAACCCGACCGGAGAGTCGCGCCGTAACATCGACGCGTTTTCGCGTAATAAACAACAACATCAACCGCGCTCAAACACTGACCGACCGCAACGCGGAAAACGTTATCGCCATCACGCGGGCCGTTGACCCGAATCACTAATAATAGTATTGCATTGTACTAATAATAATATCGTCGTTCAATAACTATATATATATATATAGTCTAATAATATATCGATGCATCCCTCGAGAATGAAATCCTACTGGAGGCGCCGAAACAGGGTCGTTTTAGTTGGAACTATTAACGAGGAAACTCGGTTAAAAAAATCGAAATCGGATTTCGACGAGGAAACGGTCGTTTGATGGTTACGATCGCTTAGTTAATCGCCTATAACGCGCGTTTACGCCTTAATCCGCATCGACCTCGAATTCGAAAAAAAAAAAAACTAGGGTTACACGACGAGTTATAATAATGCGGACGACGAAAGTCGGGAGTCGCGCGGCGCGTGTAACGCGTCTCGTCGCGCAAAAACGTCGATAACTGATTGGAAGATTTACGTTCGTATTTGATTTTTTTTTTTTTTTTTAATTACCTATTGGTTTTATTTTATTAGTTCGGGGGCTTTTTTTTTTTTCGTCCAAACGACGATAACGATAATTGTTGTTGTTCGACGGTATCCGCGTCCGATACGAGCCGCTCGACTTGATGGATAGCGTCCGTCCGCGGCGTTCATTAGTGTTCATTAGTCGTGTTTTGACGGGTTTCCGAAAGGGTTGTTTGTTTAATTTTTTATTATTTTTTTATTATTTTTTTTTTTTTTATCCCTTTCTTTCCCTCCCCCCGACCGTACGACGAACCGATCACCTGGCGTTCCGGAGCGCCGCCGTACAGACACGGCCGTTTCGTTGTTGACCTTATGTCGGCGGCGACAGGCTGCAGGTGATCGCGCGGTCGCGGGGCGTCGGCGACGAGTCCGCGTGCCGGCGAAGACGTCGACGGCCGCGGCCGCCGTCGCGCGTGAATCGAAATTAATAAATATTCCGTTTTTTTTTCCGCCGTTTGTTTTTCGGTCCGTTTTTCCACCGCTGCCACCAACACCCCAACCCCCGCCACGCCGTCGAATCTTGTCCGCTGGCCGTGCCGCGTAAATCGTCGAATATCAGTCACGGGACGAACGAAAACGAGGGGGGGGGGAGAGGAAAACTGAAAAATAAATACGGTTTTTAATCATCGTCGGAATCCATAAAAATCACTTCGGCTCCGGGCGTTAAGTGTCCGTAATGGATTTACTCCTTTCTTTTCTTATTTTTTCGCTTTACACAACGCGTGGCGGCGAACGGAAAAAAAAAAGAGTAAAAAACCCGAAGAAATTACGGCCGTCGACGAAACGCAATCATTGTTAAGTGGTTTATTGTTGGTTTTTTTTTTTTTTTTACTCCGGTATATAGTCGCTGTTTGTTTGTTTGTTTTTTTTTTTTAACATTTTTATTCGATATCAGTTTTATTTTTTCACCGGTATTACAATACACGGGCGTATAATTGAACTCGCATGATGTTCGTGTCCACCGTGTAACGTTATTACCGTACTTGCACGTATTTATTTTATTTTTTTTTATTGCTACGTATTATTTACTGCGTTTATGTGTGCGCGCGCATGATGTTACGTCGCTAATACGTATTTATATACATACATATGTTTACATATATCGGGTGACGATGACACGGCATCGGTCCGGAGGCGGCGACATAGTGTAATTTTTTTAATTACTCCGGTTTAATTAACCGCACGAGGGAGTAAAAATAAAAAAAAGGAGCGTTTCAATTAATTTCTAGAGCGGAAAAAAGTTTACAACCTTGTAGTATAATTTAACCCTGTACCGGGGCGGGGTTTTTTTTTTTTTTTTTTTTCTAAATTTTTTATTTCGTCGTGAACTCGTCGGGTTTTTTTTTAGATTCTCCGTTATCTCCGCGCCCCGCCGCCGTCAGCCCCCTACTCCGCGGGGACCCGCTCTTTCGGTACCCTTATGTCCGCTCGCGAACCGGCTCCGTTCGCATCCCCTGCGTCAGTACGCGCGCGGTCGCGCGTCGCGTCGTGCGCCGCTCCGGGGCGGCGACCGTCGTCTTACGCGACACACGAGACCGCCGCCGTACACCTAATTACAGCCCACGCGCCGCGACGAGACGACGGACGGCGCGCGGACGCCGGCGCCGCCGTCGTCCGCTCGCCCCGCGTAATACTCACCGCGTACCGTTTGTGCCGCAGATATTCATGCAGAAATCGGCGGCCATGCAGATCCAGGCCCGGGACTTTGGCCGGCCCGGCAGCATCGGCGGCAGTTCGCTGAGCGGCAGCGGCCTGGAGGTGAGCAAACCGCACCAGTGCCAGCAGTGTCTCAAGTCGTTCAGCTCCAACCATCAGCTGGTCCAGCACATACGCGTGCACACCGGCGAGAAACCGTACAAGTGTTCCTACTGCGAGCGACGCTTCAAGCAGCTTAGTCACGTCCAACAGCACACCCGGCTGCACACAGGTAAATACTTTACACGCTAACAACGGCCGACCCGGCCGGGTACGATATTTCTTGAGAGTTTTGTCGCGGGTGGGCAATGCACGGCGGTCCTCCGGAATATAATCGGGTCCTGTACGTACGGGAAGTGGTTATCATCGGTCGACATTGTTCGATACAGCCGCTCCGAGGGAGTCGTAAAAATAATAATTATCGCAAATGGATTTTCGGCCGAGCGGTCCGGCGGTGACGGGGCGGAGGGTGTGAGGGAGAGCGAAAAAGGGGAACGGAATACAATGTCGAAGAAAAATGCGCGTGTACGACTGCGTAATAAAACACAATACGAGAGGACAGACGGAGAGAGAATGCCGGGAAAAGTGTGAAACTTGTGTTTTAAATTCGTTCGCGATTTTCCAATCATATCCAATCAATTTGTTACAGTCGTCGCAGTTTTATTCCGCGCCGCGCAACACTTATTATTTTATCTATTCAAACTTTCTGAAAAGCTTCCCGGCCCCCGCGAACCTCCGCGCGAAAACGTACCGTTGGGTTCCGTTTCGGAATTACCGCGAGAAAAAAAAAAAAAAAAGCGCGAAAAATTCCTAAAAGCCGAAACGGGGACGGTATTTTAATTATATATTTCGGCCGATAAGTTTTATAATAAAACTATACCGACGACGACGACGACGACGACGTTTTTATAAATCGAATTATACCTTTAAGACTTTGTCTCTTTTTTTGTCTTTTTTTTTTGTTTTTTCGAGACCGGCGAACGCCGCTGCCCTCGCATCGTATATATATGTATATGTTTTTTTATTTTTTTATACTTTCTCGGCGGTTTTTTTTTTTATTAAAAGTAGTGTTTTTATAGCAATACGTCCGGTTATCCGTGCTGCGAAAATGCCGCGGCCAAATCATACATAATATGATAATGACGTCGGACACCCGTTCCTATTATTGTTGATTCGGGGCTCGGGACTTGCGCGTTCAAAATCCGCAGAAAAGAGCTTAAAAAAGTCAAAAGATCCCTAGAAAAAAAAAAACAATTTAAAAATCGAAAACGACAAAAAGCCCAGAGAGGTTTAAAATTTCCACCCCCGTGACGGGACGCTAACCGTTTGACGCGATTTTCTTACGCTACGAAATCGGTTAATACAAAGTATTAGTTTATTATTATTATTATTATTTTTTCTTTGTAATACACCTACAATTTTATTCAAAAACTTGTGTCTATCATTTTTATGTAAAATTGTGTTTTACGAGTGACAGCCATTACTGGGGGGAGACTTTTAAAAACGTGTTACCGGCGTGATACTTGTTTTGAACGAATTATTACGATACACAACATTACAATATCGTAACAATAATGTTTATAGAAAATAATCGCATACGACGATTGCCCATTATATATTATTAATATCGTTATCCTATTGCGGCGGTGCAATATAGCGGCGACATTATCACGTGCACTTTATTATACGCGACTGTTCGGCGGCGGCTACCGATTACAATAATTTCAATGCAAATATAATAAATTTTATTTTATTTTTTTTTGCACAGTCTATTTTGCTCTTTAATGAACATAATTATCGTTATGAAAATACAACATTACGTTTTAATCGGACGAGATAAAAACCGATTAACCTCGTCGAACGGTCGCGAGCCGCGTCAGCGGCGTGTCAGTGAACCGTCGGAATTTTATCTTGGCGGCGACGAACGATGAGCTACGATGCGCTAGACACACGGATCGATATTATTATTATTATTATTATACAGGTGTCGATGATAAAATTGCGCGGCTGATACGCTGATAGTCGGGCGAAAAATAAATCGAAATAACGAGTGAAAAAAAATTAAAAAAAAAAAACAGTAAATAAAACCGCGAATGACCGAGATCGTTTAACGGACGGACATATTAATATTTTTTAGCGTGCATGAAAAAAAAAAAAATACTAATTAAACACGCGAGCGGCGGAGTTCCGTCGCCAGAGTCGAATTTCTCGACCCCCCCTCTTCCCCGGCAAACTGATTGTCGTTACAATTTTCGCGGGTTTTTTTTTTCATACACGTGTATAATAATCGCGTGGAATCGCACGCAAACAGGTCGGGCGTTTTGAGTCGAAAGTGCCGAATGACACGTCTTTGGGTACGCTTACGCCGCGCGTATTGTGCGGAATTTCGTCCGCCCGGCCTCGCGTTCGGGCGGCCTATAGGTATACAGGGGCGACAAACGAAAACGCTCTCGTCCCGCAACATCACGGCGAAGTTCTCGCCGAAACTCGACCGAAATTTCGTCACCTTGCGACCGGCCCGTGAAAAAAACCCGCTTTAGTTCCCGTTCGGACTCATTCGGCCCGGAGCCGCTTAAAATGTCCAAACGCGCAGGGAAAAATACGTATGCGATACAGCGCAATGGTCTCTGTTTTCGGGGTGAATCCGACAGCGAACAGATTCCCAACAGTTTAGCACGTCGAGTTTAAGTCGGGCTTTATCGGATCGGATGAAATTATCTGTAATAGTTTACAACGGTGTTAAAAATTGCATTGTAAAAAATTTTATTGTACGCGAGCAAATCAGACAAGTCAATAAACCCGATAGTTGATCGGTAACGATTGCGTCAATGGGCCGAGTTCCGGTAACAGTACGTTATAAAACACGCGGATTTCCAACAATACGTTACGACTCCGAGTTATCGCCGTGAAACACGTCGAGTTACGACGCGGCGGAATAACGAACGGCCAATTAATTAATAACGAAAAATCGTACAGATTTACGTTCGTCCGTGTTGTAATAATTGTTTTTATCGGAATCGCGTCCGGCTGTGCCGCGATGATACGATTGTACAATGTGTTCGTATTCTCGATCGGTACCGCGCAAGTTATTCTGATCTGATCAAACGTGTGTTTCGGCGTCGTAACGACGATTCGAATTACTCGACTTGTTCGCCGATACGACACTTCGAACACAGTCGGGTGTACGAAACGATACGGTTTTTTAATTGCAATTATTAACGGTAGAACAAAAAAAAAAAAATAAAATTGCCGCGGATAAACGACCGAACAATTATAACACTGCAACGTTATTATTCATACGGGTCGGCGTAATTTCCAAACGAATATATTCGTCGTTATCATCGCGCCTTGTCCCGATAGCCGTCTTTGTCGTTCGCCACGTTCCCCAGCTGTGAATATTATGTGACGCCCGTGAGCCGTCTCAGATCCCGAAAGTATTACGTTCTCGGGCGTCCGCTTGTGTTTCTCCCCGAGATCTGTCTTTCTTACGAAGACGATTATTGTTAATGGCAATGCGTTACGCCACGTCTAATCGAGTTCCCAGTCGGTTTCGTTAAATTCTCATTTCTCTTCTGCGTTATAATATAATAGTCTCGTAACGCGCTGCCGTTCGACTTTTTCATAACCCGTAATGTTTTGCTCGTTTTTCTCCAGATCCACGGTTCCAGCGTTCCCCAACGGTCTCGTTCGTATACGAGCATATTTCGTTGTTATTGTCACGTTATTAACATTTTAGACGGTTATTTATCGAGATGAATTAATTTTTTCTCGGTTAGTAAAAACGGTCCGATTATTTCACGCTGTACCTACTATAAAATGCGTAGAGTTTTCACTCGCTGTTTACCGATATCCACTCAGAATCGTTACTGGATTGCAATGATCGATTTTTGTGTGACTATACTCCCACCGTGATGGCGTGAAATAAGCTCGGCCTTTTTTTTTTCCATCGTAAGCGTAACGCATTCCTGTTTGCACGTGGATTTTTGTCTCTCTATCATTGCCGCGGGGCTAAATGTACATAAATGCAATTGAGCTTTGAAATGTAAATATACATTCCCCTAAAAAAAAAAACCCCAACGGCTGCGGCACGGACGTCTGTCTACATAACGGTTTTACAAAAAAAATAAAATAAAAACATAAATAAATGGAACGGAATTAACGCAAAAAAATGTAATCATTTTTTCACGCGCATTTCCCGAATAAATCACGTTTCGAAAAATGGTCCATCATTAACAACCATTCATTCCCGTTAATTTTCTTCCCTTCAATATAATATATAATATTCTCCGAGAAAAGTGTCCCCTTCGCGCGCGCGTTGTGTTATTTTTTTTTTCCCCCGTTTTTTCTTCTTTTTTATAAGCATAAAAAGAGCGACAAAATGCTAAAAAAAAAAAAACTCGTCTTGATTTTTTCCCGCGTCGTAACCACCGCCACCGCCACCGCCACCACCACCACTATTACCGCCGCCGCCGCCGCCGCCGCCGAGGCGGTAGAGCGGACCCTTGTCAACTCATTGGTCGTTTTATTGTTATTTACTTTTAACAGATATTGGCAAAAAAAAAAGGGCGTTTCTCGATTACTCCCCGTGCTGTCGCGTGAAAAAAAAAAAAAAAACAGAAAAAGTTTCCAATTATTCTCCGATATAAATTCAATATCATCAACAAGTAGCCCGGCATCATCACCGCGCTCCGTTCGCTCCATTTAATCCTGACGTTTATTAAAAAGTAAACATTACGCGATGATGTATTTAAATATTATTATTTAAAGGCCGCGCATAAATAAATTTCGAATATAAATTTTTTTTTTTTCGTCGTTACAATTTTCGATCCCGGGCCACACGACGTCGATAGCGAACATCGCGACGGTGTCAGATCTCGTTACTATCGCGACAGTAACTATAAGGTTACACGACCGTATAAAACACAACGACAGTTCACGCGGCTACAGTATCGCGCTCACAACAGTAACTATGGTGCGAGCGCGCGACAGTATTGCTTTCGCGACAGTTCGGTACGGTTCTACGCTATACGGCCCTGCGATTCGTGTAGACTGCAGGGTATGGTAATCATCGCGCATACGATACGAGACAATCGTCACCAGGATTCCGGCTTATTTGCGTAGAATATTTGTTTAGCTCAGCAGACGGCCCGGCCGAATCATCGCGGTTAGGAGGTGGTAATGCAACGCGCACGCTAATAATATTATTTCAATTTAGGCGCGATGCAATTTTTACGACCCCGGCTAAACAATGTATAACATTATAACACGTATGCGTGTATACATTTTAATCGGGCGCGGCGTCCGGACCCCGGGTTTTAATTAGTCGCCGAACAAATATTTGTCCACCGTCAACGGCACACGCACGCTCTGGTGTATACCGCGCGCGCGGTTACGCACGGTTTTCGTATGTAACGGCCGCGCGATAGTGACAAGCAGCTGCCGGGCGCACGCGGTGGCGGCGGCGGTGGCGACGGCGGCACACACTCGCAATATCATCTCACCCCCTCTGGGTGGGGTTTTGGCACACGCACGTGTGGGCGTGTGCGAAATATCAAATATGGCTGATGTCCGGCACACACGGGGTTACGGCGAGGTACTGTTATTATTGTACGTATAATGTGTGTAATGTATATGTAATATTTCGCGATAAGAACACGTTCGAGGACGGGACGCGTCGGCACGGTGGGGAAGGCTACTTTTTTTTTTTGTACGATTTCGACTAGTTGCGAGATCGAAAAAAGCGTAAAATGTCGTTCGCCGTCGCGTCGCGCGAGTAGGAGAAACCACGCGGGACGTCAAAAACGGAGGTAGAGTTGCGAGGTACGATATGTTATAGCGTTAGATACATCGTCGTCTACGGTCGGTAACTCTGCCGGGCGCTCAACAAACATTTTGTGTTTCTCGAACGTTTTTTTTTTTTTAAATTCGAAAAAATTCTTCGCGTGTTCCAATCCGGCAGCTCCTATAAATTTGAATTTCAGTTGTAGGCGTTTTTTTTATCATGTCGTATCGTCGTTATCGCGATCCGAAACGAAGTGATGTTCGCTTCGCCAGGTGCCGAGCGGTCGATACTATCCACCGGTAACGCGAAAAATATCGCGCGAAACGCTTAGTTTTAGCGGGTCGGCGGGGTCATCCGGACGACGGAAACCGCCGCGGCCGCCCGTTTACCCCGGGTCCTATTTTTTATGCTCCCGCAGCAATAATTATCCGTTTGCGAGAAACCCGAGCCGTTTCCCGCGGCCCCTCTATCGCCTTTTTTCGCTTTACGAAAGCCGTTTGAATCCCGCGGTTTTCGGACGATTCTCGGGGCCGCGTTTATCACCGCGGCACGCGAAATCCACGAGCGTTCTTTCGCCTCTCCCCCTCCCCCACCACGGTTCTGTGTATCCGATGGCGTGGCGATGAAAAACCCTGCCGTTCGTTCCGACATTTTCGCCGAATTTCAATAGCAACAATACATACGTTCGCTATTTCACTAGACAACCTCGATATGCATCGGACGATAATCACATCCGTAATCTGTTTAATCCGGATTCGAACGGTAGCGCGTTTCCCGAGACACTATATGCAATTTAAAATCTATCATCGGGCACGTCGAACACGAATTTTCGAATTTTCGTTAATCGTCGCCTCGTTAAACCACTTATGCATTGCATTATGCGTCTGCGCGCAATAATAGTGGCGGAACACACGTGTGTAAACATGATAACAATTATTATTCCGCCGAAACTCATTTCGACTATCACGCGGTGCGACCTCCCCGTCCGTCGCCCGCGAGTAAAATTTGTATTATAATTTTTAATTTTTACCCTCTGCGGAAACCATTATGTTATTTTAACGGTGTAGTGTACATACACACAGTGTTGTATAGCAGGTACAATAAAACGAAATCAATTAAAAAAATTAAAAAAAAAAAAAAAAAAATGTACGAGTAAAAACGGCGGGACACGTTGACGGTGTGTGCACAGGCGGCTTCGGCAAATGGGATTTCGGCTCCGGTGGCGGCGGCGGACTGACTGTGCGCACAAATCGAGTTACCGAAACCAATTTCCGCGTGTGTTTCAATCTCCGGTGAAAAAACACCGACTACCGCGTGCCGATTGACTAATAGTAATAATAAAAAATAACGACGAAACGCGTAAATGTCGCCCGGGTTATTANGTAAACATGATAACAATTATTATTCCGCCGAAACTCATTTCGACTATCACGCGGTGCGACCTCCCCGTCCGTCGCCCGCGAGTAAAATTTGTATTATAATTTTTAATTTTTACCCTCTGCGGAAACCATTATGTTATTTTAACGGTGTAGTGTACATACACACAGTGTTGTATAGCAGGTACAATAAAACGAAATCAATTAAAAAAATTAAAAAAAAAAAAAAAAAAACACCCGACTTTAAACATACCGCATCGATCAACGCGACGGTTTGTTTGATCGAAATCGAGTGCGATTCGTAGCCAAAAAACACCTCACAGTCGATATATATTTCCGTACTCGAATCGGGCGTATAGTTTAAAATTCAAAAAAATGCGGTACGGAATGGATATAATTTGTTAGATTAACTCCGTCCGTGTTCACTAAGATAGTTTTTTATTTTTTATTTTTCGGTAAGGTTTTCTAAAAAATCGCGCTTTTGTTTTATCCCCGAAGCACCGGCCGAAAAAATCCGATTGGATCGCAGTTCACGCGGTACCGCTCAAACGATGCGGAATTTATTCGAAAAAACCGCTTAAAGATCGCGAATTCGCGGACATCTATCGCCGTCGTTCCCGGACCCTCGTCGCGACCACGTCACGCGTATTCTGTGCGACGGCCCGGTTAGAGATTCGATGCGCCCCGAGGCGAGTTCGGATGTTGCGCCCTACCGCTGTGTGCACTCGGTCGGTATGTCCCCGCATTCGTTTTAAATTCGGCCCGTCACGCGTACCGTAGTAGAGTGACTTTAAACGCGCCCGCCGCCTTCGAATCCGCAACGCGTAATAATGCAAACAATATTGTCCAGTGCGTGTACGATAATATATTAGAAAAAAAAAAAAAAAAAAAATTTGAACGACGACGAAATACGATTTCCGCGCCCTGGACGCGGCTTCCTCCCGCGCCCGTCTACTGTGCCGCCGATTACGGTCGACGACGCGATGTCATCGCCGCTCGCGATTTTCGACCGGATCGACCCCACCCGCGGGTTCGGGGCGCGGCGAACGACCGTCGAGGAGTCCTCCGGACCGTGTAAAAGGCACCGGTATTATTACCGTGCTATCTAATGGTAACAGTAATAACGCAATAACACCGTATAATATTATTATAATGCGCGCTTATCGACTGTTTTATACCGTATTATATTGTGCTCGTATTATTATTATTGTTATTATAAATGTGTGCGGACGTTATTATCTGCGAGTTACGACCGTACAGGAGGGCACACTGCACCGGGGCATTTATGGTGGACGGTCACGAACAACGGCGGCGGCGGCGGCGGCGACATCGACATCGACATCGACGGCGACCGCGACGGTTCGTGTGTGTGTGTGTGTGTGTGTGTGTGTGTGTCGGTGTCCGCGATATATTACGCGCACACAACGAAAATAATGCGTTCCCGCCGTGTCGTTTTTGTTCTTCGCCGTTATAATAATATAATTTATTCGCCGGAAAGACCGCGGAACAGGTCGCGGCGCGGCGTTAGTGTTTTTTTTTTTTTTTACGGGACGGCGGCGGCTGCGTTTGTATTATTGTTATTATTACGGGCGAGAGAGAAAACGGCGCGCGCGCTGTCCAAAAGTATAAAACGCACAAAGACGTCCGCCCGGCTACGGCCCAGGCGGAATCGGTCCGGTCGCGTGTTTCGTACCGCGGCCGCTGGAAAACCCGCCAATTGCGGCCGGACGCGATAGCCGGCTCGGTTTCTTCGGTCACGGGCAAGAAGCGCTCGAGCCGATTAACGTGGCCGTAAAGCGTTTGCGCACCGTCCACGTGCATGCGCCAAAATATCGTGCATCGTTTGCGCGTCGTCTGTTTACCTGCGCCAAAATATCGTACATTATACGCGCATCAACACACCGAACAATAGAAGGGTGTAAAATAGCATATAGACACAAGTTCTTGTTAAATGAGCATTTATTGATTATTTGAATACAAATGCATTAGAAATAAACCGTGTTCATTTTAATTAGGCACGTTATAATCGCAGTTAAAATACAAAATGAATGCATAATATAGTTCGAGTGAAAATTAATTGATAACGTGTTAATAAATAAATGCGTAAATAAATTAAACACTAAAAATAATATAATAAAGCGACACTCGGCATATTGTAATGTTCCGTTATTTTTACAAAACGAAACCTAACTGGATAGCCTACACAATAGTATTGCGGTACATACTATACATTTTAAAACAAAAATACCTATACAATATTTGAAAATTGAATAGTAAATCTAGAGATGTGCGAATTTTAAACTTAGAAAACAACTCGAGTTTCGGGCGAGTACGCCGTTTTTCAGTTCTGTTGTTAAATAATATTGATGCGCAAATGACAATATTTTATGACCTTTTAACTGGTCGATGCGCAAACGATACATAATACACGATGCGCAACCGTCTTACGAAAAAGGTCAAATCAACAATAGTGATGAGCAAACGAAGACCACCCTTTAACGTAGGGTATTCGATACAAGCGAATTGTTTGCATCGAAAACGCATTAACATGTCATGACGTTTACGCCGGGAAGTAAAAATGACGAAATTATAAACGAAAACAAATTTCGTAAACCGATTGTAGTCCACATTGTCCGCGTGACCGAATAATATAATATTATTCGCGACAGTTAAACTAAAAATTCGTTCGAACATTACGTATAAAGGTTTCGGTTTAGTTTTTTTTTTTTTTTTACTTTTTTCTCTTTCTGTTGGCCCCTAATAAAACAGCGGCGGTTGGCGGACGAGTATTATACACGTGACGAATATGCCCAACGCACGGTTAAAATATAATAAAATATACGTATACTATTTGTACGTCATGTCAAAAATGTCATGTTTTACAACGGAATACAATACGGCGAAATATTATTATAATACGAGTACACGTACATAATACGAATATTAGTACGAATATTCGGAACGTTTAACGATTTCGAACACGCGTTTTAGTTCCCCGACCCTTCCCGTTTGCGCTACGCGTACAATATGAAATAATAAAATTCGCGCGAATAGGTGTATCGATATTGTATTGAAAGCGATTGTATTATGACAAATTGATAACGTGTAAGGACTAGAACATCGTAGCGGTATTTTTTTATTATATCCAAACGAGATTTTTTTCGTTTTTGACGAAAACGCGTGTGATTTGTCCGATACCACGCAGGTACGCAAACGCTACACCAGGTTTGTTTCGAAGGTTTACGGTTTATTTCGCGAGTACGTACGTTTTTTCAGTCGTTGTATTTGAAACAATATATTATTATTGTCGTGCGTATAAGTGCGCGTCGGCACGTTCGGTTTTATTGGTTCGGCGATTCTTATAATTTTGCCGGACTATTGACGGGGCGGCCCGTGTCGATTTAAAAACGACTTTCCTCCTCTTCTGCTTGTTCGTCCGGGCGCCTCGCAGCCGAATCCTGTTTCCCGAGTGATCGTTCCGTTGTCCCCGGCAGTTGTTCTTTATTACCACTGACGCGCGTAGAGCCCGACGCCCGGGTGTTTTTTTTAAAAATTTTTTCGACATTTTCCGCATCGGATATTCGTCGAGAGTGATGCCGCGCGCTCCCGTTTCTCGTGCCCGATCGCCCGAAATCCGTGTACGTTGTCGAACGTCCGGTCTGCCGCGTCGCTCGCGCCGACTTCGGTAAATATTAACAAAGTTTCGGGAACGATATTACTTGTTGTAATTTTTTTTGTTTTTTTTTTTTTGCCGTTATTTCGGCCCGGAACGCGTGCCCGCGAACCGACCGCCCGGAATATTATCGATTTCCGCCGCGATGACGGAATAGCGCGCGCGTGTATATTATTATTATTATTATTATATCGTGCGGCTCCCCCGCTCTCTCTTCACCGCTCTCTCTGTCGTCGTCACTGCACTCCCGTTGCACTTTCCGCATCTGTCGCTGCGTAGCTGTCTGTCGCGCCGCGGACCCCGGCGGACGGTTTTTTTTTTATTTTTTATTTTCGTAGACCAAGGAACGGGCGGTCGAGGAGTTATAGGGTCCGGGGCATAGTGGCGACGGGAGGGTGACGGGGAGCGGAGTGTGAAAGTGGCGGCGGCAAACACCCTTTTCGATGGTCGTCATCGGCGGATGCGGATGCGGCGGCGGATGCGGCGGCGGTGCCGGTGCCGGCGGCGGGGAGGTTAAATTGCCGCGGCGCATTGATGGCCGCGCGAAAATGGGTTTGGTCTAGCCGCGACTAGCGATTTCACTATTGGTCGATACGTTTTGTCTATTATGTTGCACGCGGTTCGCGTACGCACATTGTAGCACGTGCCGTGTAGCGGCGGCGGCGGCGGCGGCGGCGGCGGCGTGCTTTAGCCGCGCGCGTGGTCGCATCACCAAGCGGGTTTTCGCGGCCTACGCGGACCGTCCGGGATTGCCGTTTCCGCAGTCTCTGTACACGCGGGGGTGGCCACCCTCCTTTGCGGCCGTCTAGGGAACGGGTTATCCGTCGGTTTTCGTTTTAATGTTTCTGTAGAAAAAAATTCAAATCTAAACTATAAATACGTTATTGTACGGTATCGAAACGGACAATTACAATATTGATGTTTGAAAATTGCTCGTTCTATATGGCTATCCTCAATGCGCTGGTTTCATTCCCCCCCCCCCGTACAATAATCGCAGATATCGCTCGGTATTAATTGATAAATGTAGACCTAAAAACGTGGGCCGATATCACGTCGAAATATGTTACTGTTTACGCAAAAATTAAAAACGCCGTCGACGGTGGCGTGAGTCGGTTTTTTTTCAATGAATCAATAACAGTAGTAAATAAACAGCATCAAAACAATACCGTGGTTACGACAACCCGAGCTTGGCGAAAATCGAACGCTAAATCGATCGTGTAAACTTCACACTTATCCGACGATAAAGTTCCACGCGCAAACCCTGATTTTGGTCGCGAAACGACCGCCCCGTATACGGGATACCCGTTCACCGCGCCGTACTGCCGGCCGTAAGTGGCAAATCTGTCCGATACGTGTTTCGATTATTTTCCCTAAGAATACGGTTCGTTAGTATAGATAGGTAGGTTGGGGAAAAAAACCGCCCCGTATAACGGAGAGAAGAATATGCTATTATGTTATATATTTTGGAAAGGCCAATTTAATCCCGGAAACCCCGAGACATTAGTGCGCGGACGATACCCGCTGCGCCGCGGGAGAAGGGTTAAAAACCGAGAGAGAAAATAAAAAGGTAAAGTTAAAACGCACGCGAAACGTACGCACTTAATTTCCGTGGAAAAAAAAAAATAAAAAAAAGGGTCACGAAATGATAAAATAACAAAGGTATATATAGGTATATAATAATACGATAACTATAGTATTTACGGCGGCGGGGAGTGTTTAAGATTTCTTATTTATTTATTTTTTCATTTTTTTCTGGTCGTCTAACACGGTTAATTTTGTAGCCCCTGCACGCCCCTGCACGTGCATACCGCGCCGGGCACATGACGACGACGGTCATTAGCATATTAACGAAGCGGCGTCGTCGCGGTCGCGGGCGGTGGAGGCGACACGACATTATTAAGTGTCCGGAAAAACTGAGCCTTTTTTCCGTATAATATAATATCGTACGTACTTAGAAAAACGATATTTCTTTGAGCAAACGCGACAATAAGTATTATTTTGTGTATATAGACACTTTTGTAATCGGATTCCGGTCACGTTTTTCGCGAGGTGAGAAAACGCCTGCAATCGCCACCCCCGCCGCCGCCGCCGTCGTCGTTATAAAAAATTATTACGCCCGCGCCCATCACAAATCGATAAAACATTATAATAGTATATCGGTTTAAATTTATTTAAGATTCTGAGCTACCCGGGGACTTTTATTGTTACGCGGAATTTGTTTTTTCTTTTGTTCGTCTATTTTCTGGTGGCATTTTTCGGTATACGTTTTGCCAGTTCAGGGAGGTCGATTTTTCATATTGTCCTTGCAGTTTTTCCGAATGAATGAGGGAGGGGAGGGGCGAAAACTGACATTTGTATCGTATGATTTTTGGTTACCTCGGTGACAACGGAAAAAGTGTACGACTACGTATAAAACAATAATAGAAATTCAGTTCACAATCGTTTTTCGTTAGCGATGGCGGTTTGCCGTTGCGTACGACAAAATTAAATTACTCTATTCCATTGGCGACTTTCCCCACTGAAACAGTGGCACGTCCGCCCATCAACAGTATCATTTTTTTTTTTTTCAGAAAAAAATGTATTATATAACGCGCGCGAAACACATTTTAATCCGTGCTAAACAATAATGTAAAAAACGATCGCGAGTCGAACGATATAAATTTCATTTCGTTTTATTTTTTTATTTTTTTTCATTCTAAAATACATGAAATCATATTTTATTTATTCGATACGAATATCCGCTATACGCACACGCGTCATCGAGTATAGTAGGTACCTGTATATTATATACTTACATTGCCGGAGATTTTATCGAGACGACGACAACGGTGTTTGTACGTCACAATATTATATACATGTACGAGTGTACGCAATCTCGGTGATAATTTTTTTTTTTTTTTTACCACTATGCGTATACGACGCATACCTATAGGCGCAAATAGTGTGACAGAAAAAAAAAAATATTATTTATATATATAGACAATAATAATAAAATATATTACTTATAAAAATGCGTATAAGAGAGAGAGTGCGGCGACGGTCTTCGGGCACCGTTCCAACAAAGTCCGCGAGAGCCGAGACGAGGCGATGCTCGTCTGGTGTGCGTATTTTTTTTTTCTCTTTTGAATTTTTTTTTTTTGTACGAGTGTATATAATATACTTTGCGCGTTATGTCACGTGCGCGCGCCCGCCGTAGAAAGTGTCTCCAAACAGGGTCACTTTATAATATAAATGAATAATAATACGTGTGCGTATATATGTGTATAGGTATATAGGTATACTATTATGTTATAGCCCGCGGAGTAAAACGATGATTTACAACAGGATTTATAGACTGCACACACACACACACACACACACACACGCAAACATTGCACACATGTCGCGGTTAATGAAAAAAAAAAAAAAAAATAAAAAAATGGACAAAGTTCATTAAGTATGTAGATTCAGCACCGTACGTGTGTGTACCTGTATATATGTATATATCTACGTATAAATATACTCCGGAGTAATAAATTATCGGTCACGTTCCGGGGCGGATTAAATCGACTCTTTTTATATACGTTACATTATAGATATATATAAATATAAATGTATACATTTTTTTTTTTTATAAGAATTTCCCCATCCCTCCCTCCCCCCCTCCGGCCGGTCCCGACGTATCGACGAGATTTCCTCTTCTTCTTCTTCGTCTTCGCCTATAATATAATAATGCCTACTCGATTTTTATTTTTATTTTTTCCAATCTCGTTACATGTATGCGCGCACGCGCGTGCGTGTGTATTGCGCGCGGTTATATTATTTATATATTTATGTATATATATATAGGTAGCCGTACACACGGAGAGAATGTTAACGGAAGAAAAAAAAATAGAAATAAAAAAGAAAGAAACAAGCCGTTTATGGGCACGAACGACATTTATTGGACATAGGCACGCATCTGCGGGAAAAAATAATAATCTACCCAACTCGTTTACAAACGTTTTATACCGCGTATTCAAACGGATTTTACTCCTTTTTCTTTTTCACTTGTAATCATATTATACGTATATTATGAAGGTATACGGTCCGATCGATTATAGAATATGCCGGCCGTATAATAGAATAGATTTTTTCCCCGTGTAACCCAATGGTTATTAGAAATATACGAAAAAACAACCACTCAATTTTCGTTTTTTAAATGAGCTGCATTTTAAGGGTTTCATTTCCGAACCGCCCACGCTCTAGAAAATATTTCCGCCGTAACTGACAAGAACATAAAGTGACGCGTTTTCAGCGAAATCGGACGACTGTACAGTTGTTGAGTCCATATGGAAATGTATAACCGTACATTGCCTTTTAAATGAATATAAAATTAATTCCATTAGTAATTTTATCATGAAATTTACTCGAATTCAATACGTTCGATAATAATGACTGTTATACCTGTATTATAGTAAAAATTAATATTGTTATCGACAAGTCGTTCGCGAATTAGGTACGGATCGCGGTGTTCTCAAGGTGATCGCTGCTATTTACTAATAATATTATAATGTATTTAGATAGTTTAAAGGTCGAGTAGCTGCTACTGCTGCACAATGATATGATAATTCCTTATCAGTTTAACTCGGTCAGCCGTTTCAGATATTCAGCAATAATTTTCGAATTCAATCGAAATATATTATCATTATTATTATTATATTATATACTTAATAAATTAGTTATTTATTATTTATATAGTTCGACGGTTAGAATACGTGTGTACAAAAGCAATAGGCCAATTTTTTTTTATTTTTTGTATGTACTCACTGTTAACCGCACAATTATATTATAAGGAGATTAAAAGTCAAAACCCCCAAAAGACACATCCTTACACCGTGCGTATACAAAATGTCATCCTTCTCAGCTTCATTCGAGATGGGAGAAAGTCTGTCGGAGTGTAAGCAGCTTAAAAAAAATCACTTTCCACATCCGACAACAACATAGTGGCAAAATTAATATTGGAATTCGACCGACGTGTTACGACTTTTATCCCCGCCTAAAAAAACGACTCTAGTTCTCGAGTTTGAGCTCGCTTGGTCCGGAGGGAGCCACTTGGTGTGTTCATAAGTAGCGGGGAAAATATTATTTATACAGTAGACAGTGGCAAAGGTTTTTTCGCGGTAAAATTTGACCAAAAACCGTACGCATATTTATTATTAAAGAGTACGGACGGTAATATACGGTTTGACTGATTATTATAATACGATGACGGCGATTCGCGTAATTTATACATCAGCGGAGGATTGACCGTCGAGATTTTACACGCCGAAAAAAAAAGGGAAAAAAAACCCCCGTAGGTATAATATACACCGATTTAAACGTTTTTAAAAACCACACGGGATGAAAAAAAAAAGGTCATCCGCCTACATAATAATAATAAAAGGTTTACTTTTTATGTTTTTTTTTTTTTTTTTACTCATCCGCCGCCGTAATCCGCGCACGCCGTCAAAGGGTTCGGAAAGGGACTAAATTCAATTATTTATATTGTAGTCGCGCTTTTCCGCACAAACAATTACCGGCGGTGGTGGCGCGAACGACTTTTTTTTCCCTCGTTCGGAAAACTTTTTATTTTTTTATTATTTTTTTTATCGGCGGAAAAACAAATATATAAGTACCTACGTCAAGAGTGGTCGTCGTCGTCCCCGTCCACAGGTACCCGCATACAATAGTAAAAAATAATAATATCGCCGACCACTTATGTACCCTTTCGGCAGACGTGATAAAAACCGTTTTGCCGGTGCGGTGTGTATCGACGTTATTCTTATTACACTTTGTCCGATTAAAAAACATACACGCACACATTACATTTGCATGCGCATCGTACTCGTATTGTATAAATAACGACAATTATACAATAACGCGCGCGCGCTCGTACATAGACGGAACCGGACAATAAACAAGAAACGAAATTCCAAAAAAAAAAAAAAATAAAAAAATAAATAACACCATTGTGTCATTAGCAATATATAATACGCGAATGCATTTGCGAGCGGAGCGAAATCGACAGAATGACGTATATACGCGGACGTTTCGATAAATTTTATTATTTTATAATATTTCGTATTTTTGCGCGGACCCCAGTGTTTTAAATCATTCTACCGCGGAGCCGCCCGGAATTGTTTTTTTGTCCGAAAATACGCGTATAACAGCGGGCGGGGCCGGCCGCGGGGACTGTAAATAATAATATTATAAAATAATAAACAAGAAACGAAATTCCAAAAAAAAAAAAAAAAAAAAAAACCGATGGGAATTGGACGTACACGTACTATATTATTATTATTATTATTATAAAAATAACACCCCGGCGAAAAATATTATTTTATATGAACGGCGGCGTGCGATTTATGCGCGCGTCCGTCCACCCGTTTCGGTTCATAAATCTCGTGACATTATAATATTATTAAAATATATAGCTGATGTATTGTGTGATGCCGCTCGCGTATATTATACGCGTTTTTATTTTTTGTGTGTGTTTTTTACAATGCCGTTTTTCCGAAAATCATTCCGGGAAAAATCCGCCCGTCTCCCTTGTCGCCGCCGCCGCTGCTGCTGCTGTCCGTCCGTTTTTTTTTTTTAAATTTTTTTTTTTTTATTATATTACCGCTCTCAATCACGTCTGTTTTGGCAGTCGGGCGTATGTGTACATATATACGTCATAAAATGTTTTAACGTGATTATAATATTTTATAACATATCGCGCGCAAGCCAAACACAAAACAAAATTACACGATAAATTTAAAAAAATAAATAAATAATAATAAAAAAAAAAAAAAAAGCTTTGTCTCTGTTACCGTATTTTATATTCATTTCGGTAAAAATTTAATTTTACCGATTCTGTACCGGCGGATTTTATATTATATTGAAACGAACGCTGCAGCGCGGGCCTGTACGTGCAAAACTGCATTGTTATATTATTAAGTCTTAATATTTTATAATTTTTAATGACTAGCGGCTTACGATAATATTAGTCGTACGACAAGTATCGCTCGGCGATTTACTCTAAATATTAAATTATGCCCGTCGGTAAAATGCATAGAAATAGATTGTTATAATAAATGTCAGATTTGTCAGTTTATCCGTAGGCATGCTTAAAGATCTATATGTATGTGTAGTGTGGCATTGTGTGGTTACGAAACCAGGAAAAAAGAAAGACTTTTGATATGTATAGTGCTTAAATGCTATACAAATCTTGTTGATTGAAAAGTTTGTACAAACGAAGAGATTCTGTAAACACAACAAAGGAAAACAGCAACTATGGAAATGTATTCACACTATTCAATCTGCTGCAAATCTGAAATGCTGAAATATGCGTGGTTCAGATCGTAAAGGACATAAATCGGATGTAAAGGGTCTAAAGGAACTATATATATTCTACGACATGGGGGTGTATAGGGATTGAAGAGCTGTAATAATAACTAATATTAGGAAGACAAAAAGGTCGGATCAGCGCTGGATTAAGGGGTTGTTGGGGAATGAAGAAATATGTAACCCATCAGAGCCCCGGTCCAAACATTTTATAAATTTAACAAATACCTATACATAGTAGTAGAAAAAAAGAAAATGTAGAGATTTCTATCTGGTCTATGTTTATTAAATGCCTCGAACGATTTTGCTCGCCGTGCAACCGAATATACTTTTTATTATTATTATTTTTTTTTTTCGCGAAATTAGTGCCGCTAATATTTTAATTAATCCGGTTCTGTTGCAGTATATCAGAAACCAGCTCTCGTTCACACGCGCGTTAAATAATAATAATGTATTATGCTATAGAGTTTTATACCAGTATACGCCTTTGCAGCCTTTGTATAGAACAAACGTCCGTATATTTCCACGTGCTCTCACGGAAGACGCACCAAGAAATGAATAAAAAAAATAATAATAATAAAAAAAAATTATATTATTAGTGAATCGAAATGAAATGCTTGCCGTGTTAAAACAAAAGCGTCCGGCGGGGATCGCGTTGCAGGCTGAAGCAGTAGCGGCAAAAAGGGTTAAGACGAAAGGGGAATTATTATATATACACACACTCTTATATATATATATATATATATATATAGGTATTTGTTGGCGTAAAAAACTCACATATCCGGGTAAAATTACCATAATATAACGTGTCCTAGTATAAAAAATGTAACAAAAGAATATCTAATTGGATATTCGCGGCGTCGTTGTCGTAGTAGTCCTCGTCGTCGACGGTTCTCAAGGTATAGTATCACTCGCGGCGGGAGCAATAATAATATTATATAGTAGCTAGGGCAGTTTTAAAAACAAAACAAAAAAAAAAAAATGAATATGAGAAAAAAATTTTTGAAAAAAAAAAACGCGTCCGATGCGTACTGCAAACGTGTTAAAACAATAGCGGCTCCTCTTCCTTCCGCGCGCAAAGGACCGCGCGTTTATCGTTGCACCCGACTGAAATATTATTATATTTGCATATGAAACGGTCGCTCGTTGGTACGTATAACGTAATAACCGGTTGTGATGGCATTTTTTTTTTTTATTTTCATTTTTTGTTTTCTTCCGACAACACATTTTATATTCGTATTATATTATTGTTGTCGCAGCAGCAACAGTGTACTGTATGATGCATATTGTATGTTCGTAATTTTGTATTATTATTATTATTTTTTTTTTTTTTCATATTATTATTTGTATTTATCACAGGCGAACGGCCGTACAGATGCCACTTGGCCGAATGTGGACGAGCTTTCATACAGCTGTCCAATCTGCAACAACATCTCCGGAACCACGATGCCCAAGTAGAGCGGGCCAAAAACCGACCTTTCCACTGCACCATCTGCGGCAAAGGTTTCGCTACCGAATCCAGTCTGCGTACCCACACGGCTAAGGTGAGTCCATCTCATTACTATAACAACGGAAACGATATCCTCTTGGTATACACGTGGTTTAGGCAGTCACCATTAAACTCGTATTGCGTATGTTATATTATGTTCTTAAATCCGTATGTGATGATACCGAGGTGGCATAATCGCGGCATTGTCCTTTTTTTAATCGCATTATCCCCGATGACAACATCCACTGCAGGCGACCTTAACACTCATCGCGTTAAAAACATAGACATATTAAAGACTTGGGGGCGGGGTTGTTCTGGAAAGCGAGAGCGTTGAACGAGATGAAATAAAATAAACTTTTTTTAATAATTTGATAAGCGAAATAAGTTAGATGAATTCGATGAGAAATCTATAAGTATATTCGGAAAAAATGAATAAATGAAATCTACCAAGCGATTCATTTAAGTGGGTACACTAATTATCTTGAAAAGTATTAACTCTTTCTGGAAATTGTTTTTAGTACATTTTAGAAACAAGCTGCTCCACAATTTTATATTTGTAGTATTTCTTGTCACCCTTATATTTGAGGGTAATTTGAGGGTAAAATCTATTTTTGATTTTCAAATGGCACCGTATATTAAAAACTCAATAAATAGATGGATTATTAGTTAAAATAAATTTAAGTGTTGAAATTTTTGATTTCCGTTGACGAGATATTCCACTTTTAAGTTTGTGTTGGAGGAGAATAGTAGAATATCATTAATGTGGCGATACAGCGCGCGGCGTATTAAAAATGCACTACTACTCTCCTCCAATCTAAAATTAAAAGTGGTATATCTCGTCAACGGCTTGACAGAAATCAAAAATATCAACACTAAAATTTTAACTAATACTCAATCTATGCATGGATTTTTTAAAAGAAGTTGCCATTTAAAAATCAAAAGTGAGTAGTTGTTTTACCTACAAAAATAAGGGTGACAAAAAATAGCACAAATATAAAATTGTGGAGCAGCTTGTTACTTAAATGTTGTAGAAAACAAAGTCCGGAAAAAGTTAATACTTTCCTAGATAATAAGTACTCACTTAAATGTATCACCTGATATAATATTTTACTAAAATAAGCTCAAAATGTTTCCCGAAATCTCATATTTGATAACGATCTATGGATTTGTCTAATACGTAGAGTAATATTATAGAGGTGTTGTTTTGAAATGATTTTGAAGCAACGAATGCCTCTGAATACGAAACCTAAAATACTCATCTTCCAAGTTTTATATTGGACTTTTGAGATGGAGTAGATTTTAGGGAAAAATCTCTGGTTAGGACGTCGCCCATGATTTAGACCACTATATATTTTATTCTGAACTGATAACAAGTGAATACGTTTGTTTACACTCTTGTATATCATTATTACAGTGCCGAACAAGTGATTATTATAAACGAAATATTTTGGTTGCCGAACAGTCCACTGACATGTTCTGTTCGTGTTGATCATAATTTATGTGTATATGTGTGTGTGTGTGATCCATTAGTTTTATGCTGATAGCCTTTATCTCAGCTACTTAATATTCGATAACATACCGTTCTGTTCTGTTACTCGACAAAGTTTCACTAATATGTTTTATGCGATGTCATCATCAATGCGACTGGATTGCAACAAATTTCGGGACCATATGGATTGTTATTATAGCAGGTGTCGATGAATATTAGTTTATAAAAATCGTTACGAAACGCGACGGCTACGACGTTATTACCTAAATATTTTCTACTTTTTTTTTTTCTTGGTGGTTTTTTTAAATTTGTTTTTTGGTTTTTTTTTTTTAATCGAATATCCCCGCCGCTTACCAAATGCCGCGTACACGGGCCCCCTCACGAAAGACGAACACGTGGAAACGATGAACGCGATAAGTATAACTACAGGAGGTGACGGCGGCGGCGGTGGCAGACTGACTTTGACCCAGTTTTGGAGGATTTTATCCGGCGTGTAGGTGTGTGTGTGTGTGTGTGTGTTGTTAGATATTATGTATATATATATATAAGTATATAGTAATAATATTATTATCCCTCCAGCGTGCCACCGCGTCGACGACGATGACGGCCGTGTACCTACTCGTCGTCGTCGTCGTCGTCGTCATAGTCTACCGGTAACTCGTGACGTCACCGCGTCGACGACGACGACGTTGCAGTAAAATATCGTACGCGCGGTGGTGTGCACGGGTACTAACTGCACTTTTAGACGTGCGCCGCCCACACACGGATAATAATGTTCAGAAAAAAAAAAATAATAACTAAACGTTATAATATTATCACACCTATAGTATATATATTATTCGCCGCGACGGGGAGTCGGGGTTGAATTAGGTCAGCGCGGAGGGTTTGGTATTTTTTTTTTTATTTCTAACAATTTCAATTAAATATCATAAGCAGTATGAATAATTAGTGTAAAGCGATTTTTTTTTCTCCGGCGTCTGAAACGAGTATAATATGTACATTTATATTTGGTATATACGTATATTGTACACATAGCCATAGACGCATTTTAATCGTTTTGTCACGATAACCACGGCCGAGCCGCAATAATATTTTCTCGTTATGAAATTATATAAATATATACAAACTCGCGGTTGTCGCCTGTGCGAGATTGAATTACGCCGGGGCAGTTATTACAATTTACTAGAGTGCGGAGTGTACGACAGTAGCGGCGCGCGCGCGCGCGCGGCCCAATGAAATACTGCGGGGCGACAGAGAGGCTTATTTGAAAAGTTAATAGGAAAAAGCGGGCGCGAAAAGGATTTAATTCTCACGGACATCTTCTTATATTTTTATTAAAGTTAATTTCGTTACCTGCCTCTACCCGCCCGCGCCCATCTGCCTACCTATATTTTCTTCTTCAAATCCGCCCCGTTAAGAATTTTTCGCTGTTATAATTAAAAAAAAAAAAAAAAAACTGACGTTTATTTCTCTCGCGCCCTCTCTCGCCGTGACGGCGTGACGATCGGCGTGATACGCCGACTTTAATTACAATTCATAAAAAAACGGCAAAAATAAAAAAAAAAAAACCAAATGATTTATCGATACGCGACCGAAAAGGCGAAAACCCGTTTATACGTTTCAATATTCATATCGCCCAATATTATTGTTATCACTAAAACAAAACATACTAATATGATGCGAACGATACGGTTTTGCTATTTCGTAACCAGCGAACGATCGAGCAACCCCGTCGTGTTCGGTCGCTTCGCGAAAACACGATTTCTGTAAACGTTTTTCGATTTTTTCTCCGGCGCATCATTTTCAAACCGTGTATACGAAACTATAAATAACTGTATTATAATTTAAATTTAGAACAGACAATTTTTCCCGTTATGAATTTCTTTCGTGATTTCTCTCTTCCCCCTATCTCACTAAAGTCTATTTTAGATTTTTATCGTATCAAATTATCTATTCGTTTTACTGAGATTAGTATCGTTTTTTTAATAGAAAACACTTAATCGCTTAGTAAACATGCTTCAAATCGTACATATTATACTGTACTTTAAAAGATGTGGATATTTTACCCGGCGATACTTTATTTGAACAAAACACCGACAAAAATAGATTTTTTTGATTTCTAGGTTAATTTGACTACGTACAATCAGAACGAACTACAACCTTATCGGTTTACCGAGCTCAACTTAGAATCGTTTTTCATCGCGACGATTTACCGTTGCCTCCAGCCCGTATAATCTAAATCATCCTAATATCCCCAGTTACCACAACACTGTCCGGACTTTAATCTATTTCTCGTGTAAAAATTCTAACGCTCTTAATAATATCATATTGTAAAAAATGTTCATTCTTGTGTCATTTATGCGAAGTACATGATATTCGTTGTGAAAGAAAATGGTTTTGCGGAATCGTGTGTGTGTGTGTATGCGTGCATGCGGTTTATTGAACGAGTGCCAAAATGCATTTTAATAATTTTTTCGATACGACGGTTATAAGATTATATTGCTGCAGTTATACGAACCGTTTGGTAATACAAGACATCGGCACGTTATTTTTCTCCTGTAAAATACGCCACTATTCGACTTTTCGCAGAGTGACGAAAATCATAGAAAGAAAAAAACAAATCTAAGCTCGTATTGTTATTTATTTTGAATAATGGTTTTATATAATATAAAAGTTACATGCGCGTATCGAAAAAAATCAGATCGGTTTTGTATAATTTTCGTAGTTATTATAACGGTTTAAATGACGTTTCGCGTGTTACTTTTTTTTTTTTTTCTTCTTCTTCGTTTAGACGTCGCGCACATTTCGTTTTCGTTATTATACGATCGTTGATTATTATTTATCGCTAATTTATGCCACAAACTTTATATTTTCGAATAACGAAAGGGTGAATTCGACCCTGGGCACAGGGGTAAAAAACGCCCGCACGTTCCAAAGTCGTTCTACTTTCTTTGTTTTTGTTTTGTTTTTTTTTTTTTTATTACCGTTCACGCGAAATTATGTCGAAGTTTTTTTTTTTATTCGCCCGGTGTTTTTATCGCTTCAACGATATTATTGCAGCGGAAACATGCAGTTATTTACTCGTACGCAAATGCACCACTGTTCGGTTAGATTATATTATTAGAATTACAGTAGTCGAACGAGACTCCGGCCGAACAACACATTATTTTTTTTGTATAAATACGATTGGATTTCTGCATAATATAATATTCGCCAAGACGATGTCCGCGATCCGTAAAAATAGAAACAAATCTCATAAACATTGCTGTTGCACTCTCGGGTCGTTAAACTTGGCGTTGCCGTATCATATACATATATTTCGGCGGGTTTTCGTGTAATAATTTTAATTTTACCACCGCCGAATAGACGTTTCGAAATAAAATTCACCGTCGCCAAAAAAATGATAAAAAAACTCTTATGTGCAGTATTATCCTATAGAATATTTTCCGAGTACGTGGTTAAAATCCCGCGCTTTCTCGGTTGGACCGCACACTCGAATTATTAAAGATTTTTTTTTTCGATTATTTTTTTTTCGATTATTTTTTTTTCGATTTTTATTATTTCAAATTTATATTGTATACTTATAAAATTACGCGTTTTGTTATATGAAAAAAAATAATATGGGGTTTTATTTTTTTTTATTTGTTAAATGTTTAATACGGCGAAAATCCGGTGAAGTGTAACGCGAATGTAAATTAGAATGAAAAGGGTTGAGAACGAAAAATATGATGTAATAAAAAAAAAAAAAAACGAACACTATATATATATATATATATATATATATACATACACGTATATACTATCCAACGATATTCATTAAAAATGTGAAAAGGGTATTAAGAGCAGCAGTATTTCGTTATTGACCCTTCTTGCAGTGTACTGCAGCCTTTTATTAACATTATACTCTTCCATGTGTATATACGCACGCGTATACTTAAATGTACTGCATGTACTGTACAACCCGTTATGACCCTTGCGTATTAAAAAAAAAAAAAAAAAACGAAACGAAAAACCGACAATAACACGAGAATAAGACACAACAGATTTTTTTTTTTTTTTTTACGACCTATAACGCGTATAACCTCTACCTCTATGTAGATATGTATTATTTTTTTTGTTATTTCGTACGTACTTTTTATTTTATTATTATTATTTTTTTTTTTTTTCGTAAATCTTAGACGGATCCCCGGGCGCTCGTGTATCGTATTCGGGTACGGACAGGTGAACCGATTTACATATAATATTGTAATAATACTCTGGCACGACGATTAATTATTATTCGTTTCGTTGCCTCGGCATCGCGCCGGAATAAATTAACACTTGTCGAAAAACAAAACGAAATAATGTTTTTCTGCGTGTGCACGTATGTGTGTGTGTATGTGTATGTTGATTTTTATCGAGACGGGAAAAAAAACGTACAATATAGTGACTGTTGATATTTTTTCCCGAGTCGGTACTTATATACACTACAGGTGTTTGTTCGGTTTTTTTTCGTTCTCTCTCCGTTTGTTATTTTTTTTTTTTTTTATCCGGCGTGGGCGTGTTATTTATTTTTCCAAGCGCTTTTTTTGATATTCGGTTACATTTTTTTTCCCGGGAGTTTTTTTTTTTTCCCCCGTACGCCAAACACAATTATTTTAATTTCTTATATGCATATTATTATTATACGACGGTGTGACGGGTATTTTTTCCCCGGCGCACGTATATTGTGGGTACAATTACTTATTATGCGATATGATACTCGGCGCGATGCATCCAACAGCAGCAGCAGCAGCAGCAGGTGCCCCGAAAAACATTTTGTACTACACACATTGCATACGCGACCGCGCAATTGAATATTATCGTTATTATTATAATAATAATAATGATAATATAATGCAAGTGTCGGCGGTAATTGCACGTTGTCTTGTCGTTTGATTGAATGCACTCGCATTGAAATTTAATGCACGCGTGTACAGAATAATTGTTATTATTACGGGTACAGGTACCGTCAAAAAGTATGTACGTTGCGCACGTCCTAAATAAATAACACTAGTTGTTTTTTTTTTTTGCCGTTTCGGTCGTTTTCGTTCTTTTTTTCACCCTTTCATTTTTTATTGCCTAACTATACACGTCGTATTGGTTATACGTTCCTACGATCAGGCGATATTATTCCGTTGTGTCCAGTGCATCGGATAACGATTTCGAGGAAATAAAAAATTCGTTATATTTCGCGAGAGTTCCCGACGACGTGTTTTCTCGAGGCCGAGACGTTTAAAACGCTATTACGTTCGAAAAGCCGTTTAAACAACGCCCTGTGCAAGATGTTTTTACGAAATTATAACATTTTGTTCGAACCGTTGCAACTAACATATATTATTATTACTATTGTTTTAATCGGCTGAGGGGGGCGGGCACTGTTTTTGTTCATCGTGTCTAAATCGGGTTTTAATTATCATATGATATTTCCTAGTCGAAAAGAAAACGAATTTTAAATCGATATGTATATTTACACCGCAATAATTGCCGACGTTATTTGTATTAACCAGTTACTGTTAATTATTCAGGACTGAGGTGTACGATCTTACGTACAGATACATGCAATTGTTATCGATGTCTTATGAAAGTTTCGAAAATTACGGCTTGCGGCCTTTATGTACCGTTTTCAACGAAAACATCGTCGGTGTAAACGTTAACAGTGTATACAGAGAAAAAACATGTGTTGATAAGCTAATTTAACGTGTTTTTTTTTTGGATTCTTTACGTATTTTTTTTTTTTTTTATCAACCTCGTGGACGGATGAGATCCGTTTCCACGTGTCGCGATAAAAATGGTAATAATAATGACTGCATGATAACAATATATTATAGTATAGCGATGTCCCGCGCGGCGTAAGTCGGGTACATAGGTTTTCGCTTTTTCATACATGCATAATGAACTCGCGAACGCGTGTGCCCGTATATTTTATTTATTGTATTAGATTGTATATTATGTACATTTTTCTAAAAAAAAAAAAAAAAAGTAAAAACCGTTTTTTTCCTTTTTTAATGGCAGCGGCTCATTATTTTCTCATCCGCGGACGGGTTAAAAAGCGATGTGCCGATCTTCGGACCGTAAAGTGTGCGCGCGCGTGTGTGTGTGCGTGTGTGTGTGTGTGTGCCTAGTTGACGGCGTGCGCTTAGTTTATAGAAAAGTCGGTATAGTAATACGCGCATGCACACACACGCGCGAGACATATTATTCCAATAGGAGGCCATAAATTTCGCGAAGGGCAACAAGCGCGCGCCTCGGCGAGACCACTTTCCGTAAATGGAACGACGGCGACCGCGGCACGGCGACCGCGGGGGGAAAGGGGGGAGAAGGGGGGGGGGGGGAAACGCGGCAGCCGAGGTACGCGCGAAAAACCGTGGAAAAGTCCGACCGCATTTTTCTACCGCCGCGCGTCCGGACCCGGGACGGGTCGCGTTGCGTTTGTTTCGCGGCCGCTGTGTGCGCGCGCGCGTGACCGCGATAAAATCCGCGGGACACACGTAAGCGCGGCTAGACACCGCCGACTTTGGGGGGAATGGGGTTCTGAAATCGCGGACCCGTCGAAAACCCGCCGGGGGCCGTGCCCCCGCAATCCCATTTACGCCGGTTCTTACAGTAAGCGACAACACGCGTTTCATTTACGATTTTGTGTATAGAAATAACTATTTTTATATTATTTTTCGTATACGCATGGATTGTCTGTATTTCGTTCCGCTCGTTTTATGAAATAAGCACGGATTTTTTTTTTTTTATTTTTGGGGGGGGGGGAAACCCCTAGCACCGCCTTAGTTGCGCCTATGGGGACGGATATAGAATACAATGCCGCCGCTGAGCGAAATTTCATTATCGACATTAACACGATATTACTTTACTTTTAACAAAATTCGGACGAATTTAAAATGTAAAATGTCGGTACTCATAGTTAATATCCTCAACAAAACCCGAACGCGTACAACTTCTTGTCTAAAACGAAATCTGCATGCGCAATTTTCAGATTCATTATCACCCTGTCAAAACCCTAAATACGCCACTGCCATCAATTTTATTACGGCGCTTGTTGAATTGATCACGGTTTGTTGGATTACGTTGTTCAGCATATCATAACGGCCTTTTCTAAGTAAATATACCGAACCAAGCAAACGTCATAGATGTAGCTGTAACAATACGATAACATATTAGTATATTGAATTGCTACGGAATATTAATATCATTAACCCCCCCCCCTCTCCCCTCCTGTGTCGTCATCGTCGTCATTATTTCGTATCGGTATGCTTTCCCCCGACATCTATCGCGTCCATAAAACGAAATATTTTTTAATTTTTTTTTTTTTTTTTTTTTCAAATATTTTCGATATTAGATCGAATCGCCTAAAACTGTAATAAAAAAAATATAATATACGAATTTTTCTCTCCTCGGACAGCGGCCGACATTAAACAAAATATTCGTCGGAATTCCATTAATTTTTCCAATTTCATATCATCATAGTCGTCGTCCTCCCTCCCGTCTCTTCATCGTCGTTGTCGTATTATTATTATTATTATTATTTAATCCTTTCTTTCGCAAATGTTATTTTCGGGCACATAATGAATTTTTTTTTTTTTTAAGTACTTTTCGCAAAGACAAGAAGGGATTATAATCGCATAGTATTCTTTACTTAAATGATACTTTTTATTTCTCTCTCCGTTTTTCTTATTATTTGTTTATTATTATTATTTTTTTTTTTAAGAAATATTTAATTAAATTAATTTTCAATCTCGACGGAATTGCCACTATTTAATTATCAACTCGATTGTTTAAATACGACTCTAGTCGTCGTCTGTATACATATTATAAGTATACCGTGATAAGAAATTATAATATATAATATCTATGCGTTTTATATTATATTATTATAATAGAGGCGGGTTGTTCATTATACTTATATAAATAATATTCGGCGCAAAACGAGATAAAATCCACCGTGGAAAATGTATTATTAGTTTTGTGCAATAAAAGCCGTATAAATCATTTACGCGAGCAAATAATAAGTAGGTAAGAGTATACTTTTTCGGTGCATTAACGTAAAGTTTATATTGGAAATGTTTTAATGGTCACGGTGAATTTAATGTTTAATAATGACATTTTTCGTATTCGGCGTATAAATGTGTGTACCCAACTACTTTCGCGAGTATAAAAATAAAAAATAAATACACAATATTAAATATTCAAATAACTCGTCGTCGCGGCGGCGACAACGGTGGTGGCGCGGGGGCGGCGGCGGTTGTATTAGTAAACTTTTATATTATAGTTGCCGTGTTATATTGAAAAATAATGAAAATAAGTTTAAAAAATAAAATAAATATAATTTATCGAAAACAAAAAAAAACAAAACAAATAACCGCTAGGGGCAATATTATAGGTATACGAGTTGGTAGTGCGAAAAACCACCAATAATCGAGTACACAGGGTGTTTGTGAACGTCAATATAATATTTTTATCGCAAAACGGTAGCAATAATGTACGTATTATTTTGGACGGAAGAAAAACGATAAGACAATTGTATAAAATCATAGCGGTCTGCGCAGTAACACCAACGTCGGTGAAAATAAATGCACCACGTCAGTTCGCAATACTGCGCTGAGGAATTTTGGTGTCCCCGTGTGAAAACGGCATGCGTTTAGTCGTTGAAAAATCACACCGGGTAAAAACGCAGGAAGGAGGTGGAGAAATGAAAAACGCCACGTGTGGTAGGTCGCATTGTTTGAAGTAGAAAAATCGAGTGCACAGTGCTGCAAGAACAGGAATATCCGAAATTATGGTATTATAATATGATAGAATTTTTGGAAGGGAACGGTTTCAACAGTGAAATATCGTGTCTAGTTCCGTATGGGTTTTCAGATCACTATTGGTCTATGAGTGAAATTTGATTCGCAGTCCACCGATAATAAATTCAAATTGTAATACAGTCGGTACGTTTATTTTCGAGGTTAACATTATCGCCCTTTGACGGTTATTCGTCTCACATTAAATTTGCGGTATCCACCGCTTCGAGTTTAACACGTACAAATCGCGGGCAAGAATAAAAAGTAAAAAAACCGCTAGTAATTATTAACGGTGTGCCGAGTCCGACAGGAGGAGGGGCGGGCGCCTATACGTATACACTACTTTCGAGAGGAGAACACTCAGACCGATAAATTATACTTTGTATATAAAATATTTAATAAAAATGTAAATCTCTCCGCTTCTATCGTTGGCCGTCTCGCCGCCGCCGCCGCCGCAGACGGACTTTTAATAAAAGTCACCGGGCCGCAAGTATCCATGTATATATACACAATCGGCGGCGAGGGCTTTTAAAAATTAAAATTACGTTTGTTTTATTGCCACCCTCGCCCTGTTCCCGTCCTCGACGCCGCGCTTCTCCGTCCCGCTACCGTCGTTCGCGCCGCCCGAGACGTCGTCGTCGGTCAGAGATTTCGCTCGCGCCGAGTTATTCTTCTTCTTCTTCTCCTTCACTCGGACGCCACCCGGACGCGTATCCCCGGGCGCCGATAACAACGTCCCGCAGACATTTTTTTCGGTTTTCTTCTTTTGGTTTTTTTTTATGTACCCGCCACTTGCAGTGTATATTATGTAAACAGTCCGAGTAAAGCCGGTCGGGGACGATTTTTTAACCGCGCGTAATATCCCAGAGATGGGGAGGGGGAGACGAAATTTTACGATCGCTCGACAATAAACTCCGGTCGGTAAATTTTCGATTTTCCGAACGCAACCGCGGCGATACATCCGAGTTGCCGTCTCGCCGTCGTCGCCGCCGCCACCGCCCGTAAAACAGCCGGTCGGTTTCCCGGTAAATTCGATAATTCCGAGCGGACCGTATATCCGCGCGTAATAGTATTTCCGTCGGGTTCACGGCGTGTGTGGAAAACAAAACGGAAACGGCACTTAGTTTTGTTTTTTTTTTTTTTTTCAAAATGGCCTAACGCACACACACACGCACATATTAACGCGCGTGTCCAAAGGGACCGCGTCGGTATTGTGTTTCTTCACGCGAAGCGGAAAGGAAACACGCTGTGCCGCAATGGCGGTGCGGCCTCCTCCTCGTCCTCCACACCCCCGCCGACACGTCACCGAACACGCGCGTACTTCCGGGCCCGCTGATTACTGGTTACATACCTGACGTGTTTTTATTGTTATTTTCAGGAACATTTTTTTTATTTTCAGGAAGCCGAACTTCGCATGGACGTGCTCCAGCAACACGCCGCCCTGATGGGCGGCGCGAGCACCACGTCTTGCCCGCTGTGCCACAAACTGTTCCTGGGCAGCGAGTCTCTGGTCGAACACATGAAGGTCCACCACAACGACCCGGCCACCGTGACGCAGTCCGTTGCCGTGCAGAGTGAGTACCGCCTTCTCACAACGATACCGTAACGTTATATTTTCCTGTCCCGCGAACGTTGTGTACAACGTTCGGAAGCCTGTACGTATCTAACGTACGGATCGACCCGAAGCTTATGAGTAGACGTAGTTTTAGACCGAGAATGACACGTACGGTCTGTTCCCCCGTCCCGCGTTAGACCCCTGCGATTAACTGTGATAGGTATTGCGGGGGGCGTCATTATTTTCATATTTTTTTCCCGTTCAATACTATTTTCCCGCTTCACCCGCAGGGAGAATGTAACATAACAATATTAACGAGAAAACAATATCGGTTATTTTTTTCATTCAGACTATACCGATATCGGTACCGGGCCGTACATGGCCAAACGCCGGACCGCCAACCATCCATGTCCGGTGTGCGGTAAACACTACGTGAACGAAGGTAGTCTGCGCAAACACTTGGCCTGCCACCCCGAAACGGCTCAGTTCGCTCAACTCAGAATGTGGCCGTGTTCCGTTTGTCAAGCCGTATTCACCCACGAATCAGGTGAGTGATAATAGTATTGTGTTTTGAAAAGGTTAAGAACAATCGAGCGTACTTTGTGTGCGATTTTCATTTTTTTTTTTTTTTTTTTTTATTTAATTATGTTCGAGCTGTTGGTTCCGGATTTACGATAATTTAAACATTCAACGCCATCGTGCGAATTATTATCTTTATGATATACAAAAACGTACTGTAATAAATCAAATTTCATAATTGCTTTCTGGTTAAACGGTACATTTCTTGTACGTTGCGTTCACTACAACGGTTTTCACATTTAATTGAGACAAAACAAATTTAATTTCTATTTACGAGCATATACGCGTTTTTTACGCTACTGTAATATTATATTAGTCACTCCTATTGCATACAGTTACTGTTACACGCAACTTTTTTTTTTTTTTTTTTTTTTTTATTGTTATTGTTTGGTGTGCATTCTAACCGGATTTTTCAATTCACAGGTCTTTTAACGCACATGGAACACATGCGCATGGATCCCAAACATCAGTTTGCCGCGCAATACGTGCTAAGCAGAGCTGCCGCGGAACGCAGGGAGCGCGAAAACTTTTTGGCCGCAGTAACGGCCACGAACAGTATGGGCGGTCCCGCTTCACCGCATTCCGTTCACTCGGACTCGTCATCGTCAAACAACGGAGAAGTGGACGGTCCCAGTGGAGCCGGTTCCACGGGATCTGTGGGCACTGGGACGAACAACTCCGTGGCCGCAGCTGTGCAGGCGGCAGCCGCGGCAGCGTCGGCCGCAGTCGGCGGTAACCTCGTTTCCACCGGCAGCGGCCGTCTGTCCGCGTCACCGGCCGACAACCAGCTTCCGTTGGCGTTGTACCACAACAACAACAATACGACCACTGCAAACAACAACAACAACAATAACAACAATCCGACGGCCGTCAAGTTGGCCGAGCTCATGGCAGCCAGGACGGGAGGAATGAGTGAGTATAGCCAAAATTATTACAGCCTGCACTGGGCCGTTTATCGGCGTCATAAATTGTTTAGTATAACGTTCTTATTCCGTTTGACCTATACTACAGTCGGCGGCAACGGGGGTCACCAGTACATGAACCAGCAACCGCATTACAACGCCAACGATCTGCAGAGGGCGGCCGCGTTGTTCATGAGCCAACAACAGGCACACGCGGCAGTCTCGCAAGTGCAACAACAGCAGCAGCAGCAGCAGCAACAGCAACAACAGCAGCAACAACAACAGCAGCAGCAGCAGCAGCAGCAGCAACAACAGCAGCAACAGCAACAGCAGCAGCAACAACAACAGCAGCAGCAGCAACAGAACACGCCGTCGCCGTCGCAATCGCCACGGTCGGCTCCCCCTACGCCGGCATCGGTGGTCCAGGCTGCCGCTGCCAACTTGGCCGCAGCGGCCATGCGCATCACGCAGTCGAACGCTATGCACCAGAACCCGTTGATCACCACTTCCAGGTATGATACTAAAATAATAATCTCCCGGGAAATCGGCGGCGTACGCCGTGAGGTTTTGGGAGGAACACACACGATAAATGTGTGTTACTGTGACACTCGACGAACACCGTATTAAAACGTGTATGTTTTCAACAGCGGTTCCGGTTCGAACTCGTCGGTGAACTCGATGCAGTCGGCCGTCCAGATGGCCATGAACGCGGCCGTTCGGGCGTCCATGTCGTCCATGGTGGACGGCCTGGGCAGCGGACACCACCAGCAGTCCGGCCATCAGTCCATGTTGCACCATCACCATCATCAACAGACGAACCACGACCAGAGTTCGCCGACGTTGCGCATGCAGGAAGCCATACTCCGGTCGCAAGCCGAGGCGGCCCTTCGGCTGGCCGTCACGCAGGCCGTAGCCGCGTCGTCTGGCCAACAACAGACGCCCGACCAGAACCGGCTGCAGTCGACCGTCCAGCAACAGCAGCAGAACGCGCTCCAGCCGCAGCAGAACGCGGCCATCAACTACAACGCCATGGCCCAGGGACAACTGATGAACGGACAAAACCCGTACGACCATCACCAGAACCCGGTACAGATATCGCCCGAACTGTCCGAGGCGCTCAGGCTCCAAGAGCAGCGGCTCGAACAGGCGCTCAGGCTGCACGGCGGAGACCCCAGGGCCCTGGGCTTCACTTTCGGTAACACCCAGCAGGGTCACATCAACCCTTAAAAGGTTCAATAACTATTAATAACAAAAAGCCCTTCCCCCCCTAAAAAAAAAAAACATAAATAACCACTCTAAACATTATTACCGGCCGTGTGTCCTCCGTCACTCACCGGCCTACTTCTCCGCGACTTACCGCACTGTTTTAACTTATCACCACCACCACCACCATCGCACTACCGCCGCCGCGACTTCCTAAAGCTCAACGGCGGACCTGTTGCGCGCGCACGCCATTATTATTATTATTATTATTATTATTATTATTATTATATTTACGATATTTATTTATTATTATGATATTTATATATTAATAGGTATGCATATTATTATTACATAATGTTAAACACGCATGTACTTAAACTTTACTATGATTATCATAAGGCGTAGTCATAATTGTTTTTATTTACTCCATTACCAGTACGATAATAATAATACGTATGTACCCCTTTGACCCCCCCCCCCCGCTGCCTAAAAACGTATCGTCGTTATTTTTTCCATGCGGTACGTGCCCTCGGAGAATGACGACGACGGCCCGTGTAAATAAATGTACATTATTAACGTTTAAATATAAAATATATAAATATACATACCATAAGTACTATAAATATAGGTATAATAATAAATAATTTCCATTTTAAATATTAATTAATTTAAAAAAAAAAAAAAACGTTTAAAAAATAACGAAAAAAAAAAATCGTCGTTTAGCAAATTTTTCTGTACAGTTTATATATAAATAATGTCATATTGAATTTGTGGTTTTTTACGCGAATTGTACAAAAATATAAATATGTATATATATATATATATATATGCGTGTGGGTGTATATATGCAAAAATAAATATAAATTATACATTTAAATCGATAACTCCAATTTATAATAATATAATTTATAATTTATACACATATATATATGTATATATATACTCGTGTACGAATAGCTCGGCGGGCGATTCGACTAACAATATTATAATGTTATTATAATAACGTATACTATTATTACATTACTTATACGTAATAATCATATATGTAAAGCATACATTTAGGTTCCGGAAATATTATTATTATTATTATTATTATTTATTTATTTCTAAACATTCAAACCGATTTTTACTGTTAATTTTTATCATTATTATTTATTATTATTATTATTATTTCGTTTTAATTTTTATCAATTTTTTTTTTTTTTTTTTGTTTTTTTCGTTAAGGGGTTTTTGCAATCATTATTATTTTCTTATTATTGTTATTATTATTCGGTCGAATTAGGTATGAAACAACAATATTATTATCGTTTATGCGTATTGCGTTTCGTTTATAGTTAAACAAATTATCCAGCGATCTTTTCATTTTACGTCACGGGAAAAATGCACAAAAAAATATTACAATAATAATTTGTCCTCCGGAATGAAAACCACAATAATATTCGTTTCTCTCTCGCGAATCAAATAACGATCATAGTCGTCTGAACGAGAAACCCGGTATAAATGATATTTTGCTTGTAGACCGCCAAAACCGCCTGCAAACAAAAGTACATTCCGAATGACTTGAACGAACACCGCCGGGGCATTTAATTTTTCGGCGAATATCCAATGCGTGTCCACTGCTTATTCCCCTCTCTCTTAACTTTTGAACTTACCCGGTTATTCCGCATGAGAGTACCTATAAAAAATATACAATGTTTTGTTAAAAAATATATTCGTATTAACCCAATCATTTATCTTAATATGTTTTCTGTACAGTGTGGACACGAATAGAGCAAAATTTTTCCTCTACCGGGTGTGCCGAATTTAAATTATTGCATGTCCGTTCGGACACACGGAACACCTCCCCTCCCCCCAAAATATGCCCTAAACGCCTCACGTACAAAAAAAGAGCCTGTAAATACATATGTTAATAATTAAAAAGATACCTAATACCCGTACAAACATTTTTTTTTTCTGTTTATCTTTACCGATTAAGGAATTCACAAGACAACACGACAGGCCGCGCAATCTTGTACATATAATAATATATCAACTGCCGTAGACCGCGAACGGTCATATACTTACATACTTACCAACTCTTATTCTTTATAATTTTTGTAAATACAAATAACAATAATAACGAAAAAAAAAAAAATAATGAAAAAAATTCTCCGAACGATTTACCCTGTACATAGTAACATAATCCTCAACCCCTCTCATCGCGAGCTTTTCGAAGACCAACGGGGGTTAACCACCCCCTATACGTTACAATACGATCGTTTCGCACCCGCGTACAAATAGGGGAAAAACCCCGTAAGTATACATAAACTTATACCGTAAAGTTTGTGCCCGTAGCCTTCGCGGAACCGTAAAACCGAACAGCAGCTGTCGTGTTCTCTTCGTGTGTATTTTGCTTCTTCCGATTTATCGGTTTTTTTTATTTTTTGCCCCAATCATTCGTTTCGTTTCGCAATACAGAACATACGAAACGCGCCTAATACGTTTTCCTTTTTTTTTGTTTGTTTTTTATCCCCGTCATTACGTGCCAAACATCTCGAAACAACAACAAATATCTCGTGCAATAAAATGAACGGAAAATGCCTACACACGTTCTCTAACAGGTCGTTTTCTTTATTTCTTTAATTTTATTAATTTCGTTTGTTTTTTCGTTTTGATTTTCCGAGACGAACGAGCTGCGGTATATTATAATAATGATGTATACAAACAACCACAAACACACAAACAAATAGCAATTTAATAATAATAATAAAAAAAAAAAACGTCGGTATATTTCACATATAAGTACGCCAAGCGATAATTCGCGAAAAAAAAAACATATCACCGTGCGTTTCTTATATTATCATAATATCAATATCAACAATATCACCATCATCATAACAATCTCAGTACCATTTGACGAATGGCGTACTCAATAGACAAAAAATACGTGATTCGACTAAACGCATTCGCAAAAAAAACCATCACGTCACATGAGTCATCGTGCCTACAATAGAATATAATGGCAACGATCGATCGAATGTTAAAATGTCGCATATCTGCGGCGAACAAGGACAGCGTCCGTCTTCAAAAGTCCACTAGGGGGTGGGGAAACAGTTTCAATTTCAATTGTGTTTTCCGACGATATTGGCCTTTTTTTTTGTTAAACCGTTAACATTGTGTCATATTTACGTTGGTACACGAACCCAGGAGAACACGTCCCCTCTTGCCTCCGACGGACGCTTGCGTCAACTAACGACCCCGGGACCGTCGAGTCCGCGGTTTTTTTTTTTTGCGAAATTTATCATCGATCCGTCATCGCGTATTACACACACACAAACAGTAAAATAATTACAATATCAATAGCCCAAATACACGCTATCGCTGTGTATCACACACACACACACAAATACATAGATTTTTTTCTCTCGCAGATTTCAATAATTTTATTTTAATTTAGGGGTTAATTCCGACAGACGTATAACAAACGTCACTGCAATAGCCCAAACCGGAAAATTTCCGGTCCACACATACACTGCACAAGAGCCATTGTTGTGCAAGTAGTTCAAAATTTCGTGTCAAATGATACTGGAATTTTCGTTCCAATGTTTTTTTTTTTTAATCATTCATTTGCCCATTTTTTTTTTCCGATATCCATCCCCGGGTCGTCCCGACGATCCACATAATTCCGATTTTGCAGACTGCTATTATTTATAGCTCGACTGCATCTAATAAAAAAATCACGATCGCCACCGTGAGCAGGTGAGGCGGGACGTCCGGAGTGGGACCCGATGTGCAATGGATCATCAAAATCAAAAAATATTTAAAAAAAAAAAACAAAAAACAACAAAAACATATACCAAAACGCAGATTTGTCGAATCTGTTTTTTTTTTAATTTTATTTATTTATTTATTTATTTACTTATTTATTCGTTTGATTAATTATCCGATAATCACGCAGTTTTAATCCGTTGGATGATAATAATACATTAAATTAGTTATAATAATACATATATTAGGTATAAAATACAAATACACGTACATAATAATTTAATAATCGATAAATAATATGTAGTTAACGTAGGATAATACGATATTATACTTTTAGTGCCGTTTTTTTCAAACAAGAAAAAAATAATAATAATAATTCAACTATACGATAATAATATACCTAATCATATTCATATTATACTATTTACCTATAATAACAATAATTTCATTTTAAAATAAATGATAACGATAATAAATATACCTACAGTTTTTACTTTACGCTACGAAAACGAAACGGTTGAGTGTGATTTTTTTCATTATATTATTAAGTTTTTCTCTCTCCATCACCCCCCCACGTCCGAGTGTGTTACTTCGTTTATTTTATTATGTTAATAATATCATCAATCGAGTACACCGCATTATTATTATTTTTGGTTATTATTGTTTTGTTAAATTCGACGACGGATATCACCAACAAAGTGATTATTCCTGTTTACTATTATCACACCATATAATAAATGTTATTATTTGTCGGATTAATTTCTTTTGTAAAACTATTCCACCCTCCCACGTCCACATTGTAGGTAATACCCGATCTTTATAATTTTCAATAGGTACCTGTGGATTTTTTTCTTTTTTTCTTTATATGGTTATTGTTTATTTTCCGTAGTTATTTATCTCCCCGTGTTTTACCCGTATTATTGTTTTCTCCACCTCCATCCCCCATATGTTATACTTACCTACCTACTATACGAAACCAGTTAAGTTTTCATTTTGCCGTTTTAGCTTATCAGCTTGTTTTTTTTTTTTTTATATATATTAGTAATAATCGCAATAATTAACAATTTATACAAGGATAGTGTGTTTTATCGTTACAATATTTAGCTTTCTGGTTTTTTTGCCGATGTTACAATACGTGTTACAATAATAGCAGTAGTTACAATAGTTACAGTTACATACGTTTTTCATTATAATTATAATTATTATTATTATTATCATTATCATATAACATTATTATACTATTACGTTTTTTCAATAATAATTACTCAATACTATAGCGACAGGATTGATTATACAAATGTAGACAGTGGGTTTTTTTTTTACTAAGGAAATAATAATTACATATACTCGTAGTTTGAAATATTTAGATTTACAGTGTTTTAACGAAATATATTATAATAAATACATAATAGATATACAATAAATAATACGGTTTTCAGTTTTACACACACATACACACACACAAACAGACAGACAGACAGAATGTTTTAAGAATAATGTATTTCTCTTTACAAAAAAATATGGTTTTGAAAATTAAATTATCGTTATTTTTTTTTTTTTTTTTTGTTTTTTTCTTATTGTATTCCTTTTATTTTTTATTTTTTGTTTTGTGTTAAGTTTATGTTATATACCTATTATACGAAAAAATCCGTTCAGGTTTTTTCGTGTGGTATGTTTTTTATAATGAACTATACATAACCTTGACTAATATTTCCCTATACCCCCCCCTTCCCTCCCGGAAAAAACATATGTTTATTATTTTGTATTAAGTTGCTCAAAATGAAAATGACAAAAAAAAATTAAAATTATTAATAAATTGGAACAAAAATGTAATTAAAAAAAAAAAAAGTATACTATTATATATTATTATTTATTACCATTGTAAATTTTTTCTTTTTTTTTTTTTGGGAAACGATTGTCTAGATATTCGATGTTATTTTAATATTATATATTATTAATATTATGAATACCTATAATTTTTTTTTTTTAATTATTATTATTATTATTATTATTATTATTATTATTATTATTATTATTATTATTACTATATATTATTTTCGGTTCCTCGATACTATATTATTGTATTTATTATTTTGTCACGAAAATTATTGTCCTGATGTGTTGAAACACGACTATAATATATATTGTATAGGTACTATATACCTACGTTTTGATTCAACAAATTATTGAAAACAAAATATAATAAAATTATAAGTGAAAAAAAATACAAAAAAAAAAAATAAATGATGTTTGTGTAGTAAAACTATATTTAATATTATATATTGTATTAAAAATTTAGTTAATATAAAATATATGTTAAAGTCATGAAAATCTCAAACGCGCGCGTTGTGTCTGTTGTTGTTATTCTAATCGGTAATCCTATAACTAACCTATTACCTCATACCCATATTACCTGTATAAACGCCGTGGGAGTGTATAGTTTTTCAAGAGATTTGGTTTTATTTTTCCTCTCCGTCGTTATTATCATACTCGCCGTCGGACTAACCCGATTTTTCCGGTACATCGCGGACCGTGAAGACCCGTTCGATTATCTCCGCGGGAAAACGTGCGAAATAAACACACGCAAACGCGCGCACAGCCGGTCACGACCTTGGCCGTTTCGGAAAATCGTCCGACCGAATCGGGTCAGCGCAATATCGCACTGGCATCGTTATATTATTACTATTATTATATCGGCATTAGGCCTAAAACAATATAACACATCGGTCAGTGCGTTGAAACACAACGTCCGACGGGTTCGGTGGTTACCGGCAATAATCCACGGGGCGAGCGGACCAATAACGACCCGACCCGGGCCCAATAGTTTAACGGCTCTATTTATTTCCAGCGTCTTTTCACGAAACCTCGGCGCATTCGTCATAATCCGTCACGGACGATTTGCACCCGTGCCGGCCCGATCGCGGGTCTTGGCGCGGTTCGGCGTGTAACGCGACGCGATCGTTCGATTGTTATTATTGGTTTTATCGGCTGAAACCATCCGACTGCCGGTGCCGTTTTCACCGTGGACGGGGCGCGCTCCGAGTGCAGACTGCCGTTGTACTGCAAACGCCCCCAGGAACCGCACGCTTTGATTTGTCCCGGTCAAATCGATCCCGGCGTTTTTAGCGGACTGCGTCCTCTTCCGGGGGAAGCCCAGTACTCGTGATGCGCGCGTTACGCGCAGAAGCTTTCGGAGCCGTTGCGCTGCGGTTAGCCAGACCGACCGTCTTAGCGGCCACGCGCTAGTTGGACTAAAGAAGCCGTCGCGGGTTTCGATAAAGCCGAGAATAAAACTGTAAACAGTGTGAACCTAAAACCCATTCGTTTAAAAATGACGAACCGTGCCATTCAAGGTGATTGTTACGATCGAGTCCCCCCGCATAGTACTGCATTCGAATATAGCGCGCACACGTCGTATGTATTGTCCAGTAGTACCCACGAGTTAATAGCGAAACCTGAAGAAATTGCGTGTAGCTAAATGGCAAATGTGGATAAACCAAAAGTGAGACGCGAACGGCAAAACCTGTGGAGGATTTGTGATTCCAGGAAGAACAAGAAGAAAAAAATGTGTAGTAATGAGATGGATTTTGACGGGTTTACGGCTGAAAATTGACATTTTGTACTAGGGATCCACGAGCAGTCTCTGGGCACCCTTGCGCACGTATTCTGAACTGCCAATACCAATTGTCGGTTTTAGTATCATTTATTTGGTCTAGAGGTAATGTTTTTTTTTTTTTTTTTAATTCGACCACGTTTCGTTTTATATTTGATACGGTACATTTCATATCGACCGACATAATATTATAGTCTTTTGTTTTTACTGTGAATATTAAAATAAACATCGAATACCACTGTTTTTAAACACGTTTCCACGCCCGGAGAGAACAATCTATAATATGATATTGGTTTTACAAATATCCGTGTGTCGTTTGCATTTTGCTGTATATTCGAATTATAAACGCTAATATATATATATCAAATCAAAACAAACAGTCCGTGGCGATTTTTTTTTTCATTAGATTAACATTTAACAATCAATTAAAATGTGTTGGAATGTTTGGAAATAAAAAATTGTAAATTATCCATTTTAAAAATGCGTACTACGGAAAATCTAAACAATTTTCAAGATCGTGTAAACTACCCAAAACGGTCGACGTTTACAGAAATGTGAATCGACCTATCGTCAAACTTCTAGGTAAGTCTAACACACCCTAACCTTAAAGGTGTAACTACGTAGTTTTCCAAAAATAAGTACGACAGTAACGATAATATAACATTTTAAAGCTATTTATTTCTTAAATTTACAAAACAAAATAAAAATCTTAAAAAAGTTAATATTTTCCGAGACATCGCAATAGGTAAATCTTCATGGAACACCCTGTATAATATATTTGTATTATTTCGTATATATAATGACGTACACTTGTACATAAATTAAATATTTACTTTTAATCTTTTCGTTTTCTTTACACTGAAATATTATATTATTTATTATTTTTACTTTCTCGATCTTACGTACCTACAAATATTTAGTATATAGTTAAACGTTTACTTTCTGTTTTCGCATATACGCGCATAATGTACGTAATCGGTCTTGTTGTTACACATAATTTTTGACGGCTGTACAAACTAATGATTCCTCTTCCTACATCGGTGTTATAAAGTAAGTTAGATATATTTTGCGCAGATTCAATAATAGCTACAGGGTGTGTATTTTTGTGTGTAACGCCAATAATTATTAAGTGTGTACCATGACTGCAATTGTTATAATTACGAATTACAATCAATATTTAAAAAGCGTGTCAATATATTAAATGCATTGACCCGATATTATTAGTTCACTAAATTATTTGAATTGTTAGGAAAATCGTTTAGATTCTGATGAACATTTTATTGGTTTCACTATATATGATATTATTTGATTTTTTTTCTGTCTACGAATACAACGTCTATCCGAAATCTTACTCCGTTCATCCACTTCAATGATGGTAACATCTGTTATTGGTAATACAATTTGTCTAATCTATGCACTAAGAAGGTTAATTTTTGATTTTTCTTATTGTTTTCTTAGTTAGCAAATTTCTGAAACAACGGTTTTTGTTGATTTTAAATTTGTATCTTTGTTGTAATTCGGTGAAAATTAATAACTTTAGAAAAATGAAATTTTTACCGAATACTTGTATTGAGGTTTTCTAAACATGGTACCATTTTTAACATATTCTGGCTATTTTTGAGTTGTTTATAGCTGCTTGAAATGTTTTCAATTTACCAAAAAAAATGTTCACCATTTATTTTTCGGTTGCAATTATTTATCGCAACATACAGAATTTGTTTAAACTTTTAATACTATACTTGACTTGTTAAAATATAATGTATTTTAATATAATGACCGACTTGGAATGAAAATTGTTCACGTTTTTCTAGAAAAGTCGTGTTAAGTACTTAGGTATGTAAATCCACGAAAAGTGTATTTGTTAAATGTTTAACATTTAAAACAAAAAAAATAAACTGTACAAATTGATTGGAAATACGGTAGTATTGAAATCGGACCTCTTTGTGTGTTTAGATGTTTGGATGGTGGTTTGAGAATCTAATAATGTCTAATAATGTAAAAACCATTTTGGTTTTCGTTTTCGTTGATATAAAATGTAATGTAGGTACACATATATAAAAAAACGATAGTGAAATTCGTAGTTCATACGATAAAAAAAAAAAAAAACCGAAACATTGTCCGGCGCATATCAATCGAGTGCATGTAAACTGTTTAGTATGTTGCAGTGTTCCAAATATTCCAATAAACTGGGTCTGGGAAATCCTCGTAAACACGCTTGTTTTATACAAACAGGTAAACGTATTATAATAATTTTACACGTATAAAAATAGTTTTTTTTTTTATATATATATATATATTATATATTATATGTATGCATTATAAACCGCGTATGAGGGCAATATTTTTTTTTTCCGTCCGCGAATCGAGTTTTTTAACATCCATAGGTAGGCCAGAGAATAGTGTAACAAACAGTTGTTGTTAATCGTGTATTTCGATCGTACACAACGCGATCGAGTGGAAAAAAACGCATTCATATATTTATTATTTATAGATGATTTACGAGTTTTTTTTACGAATTGAAGAAAAAAGTCTAATCGAAACCGACATGCGTAATTTAGGAACCTATATCGGAAATCGATAGAAAACTCGGAATAAAAAAAAAAAAAAACATCGAACAATAAACATTATTATTTATTAGGACACCGTGATTCGGTCGATAAAAATGGAAAACTTTATTTTGTGTGTGTTTAGATATATTTAAGTATGTCTAACCGTTGTGAATATTGTAGAACTTGATTAAAATGAAAATCAAGTAATAGCCGAGTAAATAATATATATTATGTTATTTTCTAAGTTAACGAAAAGAAAACTTGCTCCAGTGTATGGATTGTAACACTTTTTCTGAAAGGAAGTTGTACATAGTTGATGCATTAGAGAGACAATTTTTTGATTTTCCAAAAGATTTTTTTTTTATAACGATTGGGAAAAGATTAATGCTTAAAAATGTAACACAAAGTTTATCAAAGTTTATTAAGTTGAACTAAGTGTTGATAAAAACTAATTGAGCGTAATATAGATGTTTTTTTTTTCTTATTCGTTTTAACATTAAATTTTGACGAAAATCATAAATATTACACTACTCGTATTTCAAAACATGTATAAATAAACTTTTTTTCCGACTCGTCTTCCGTTGGCAATAGTTTATCGTTGTTTACAGATTAATTTTAAAAATTGTATGTATCCTATCTTCCTAATTTCCCACCTACAATAGTGGCACACCCGTCTTCAATATTAACTTTATTTTTTGGAAAGAAATGTTCGTATTTCTCGCAGAAAATATTAATATCTGAATACTTCAGACTAGGATTATTAAAAAATGAATCCATCAGAAAACTATGATTAAACTATTTAATTATAGGCACCACGTGCAGAAAACTCGATTGTAATTCTCGATAAACTCGATATTATTCGATGAAAATTTCCATGAATATATTTCACTAAATTGTATAACAAAACGACAAATCGCAATTTATTGTGTAAATATTGTCTCGCTTTCCCAGCATTTGTTTTTTTTTTCATTATTATAAAAAAAAAAAAAACGCGAGGAATTCAAAAAATGAACTCCTCAATGCACAACTGAAAAACGTAAAAAAAAAACCACATATTTCGGTTTTCCCTTCATAATATCCTCGTTAGAAATGTTTAAAATATCCCGTATACGAAATTCTCTCGTTCTAAATAATTCTGCGTTTAGGATTCCATTACCAGTATAGCAAAAACGGAACTCTATTGCCGTCCTGTCCGTCCGTCACAGCTATAGGCGCGCGACTCCGCCGTAGTTCCGTCGATTCTGATGAAATCCTACAGGCACTCTCTGCACATGCCTGTAGAACATAATACAAGTGTATCGCGCGAACCGCTATACAATTATGTTGGGAAACAACAAAACCCTTAAAAACCAGACGCGGCTAAACGACGGAATTTACAACGTATATAAAACTATAAGGATGCGTATTTCGTGTACAAACGGAATGTTTCAAATAATAATAATACGTATAGGATATTTCGATGGAGTGGATATGCGGCACGTGGAATACTCCGAGGGCGCACCAAGCATTACTCTTGTCGCTCGGAATCGAAAAACATCCTCCGCTATAAGAAGCGTCGCGTACTTAATCGTACTTAATTGTCAGTGTCCGCCTTACGGAAAAACCGATGAACCCTGCGTTGTCACTGCGTACAGGTACCGAATAACTCGCGGAGAAAACGACGTCGTGCGTTTCCCCGAGCGTTACGGTATTACACAGGTATGTCGGGCGTGCGCGTGACGCGTCCGTGTCGTTCGACTATCGTGTTTCGTACAAGCGACAATATAATAAAAAAAAAAAATACAATAATAACCGCGCATTACGATAATAATAATAACAGTAACGATATCGTTACGCGCGTACAACGGATGACGTACGGACAATAAACTGTTGCGTCACAAGCCTCGGCGGCGGGAAAAAAACCGACGACGACGGTCTCGTATGATGCGTTCGCGCGGGTAGGTTTTCCGTTTGCGTACCGTCGTCGCGAGTCGCGTGGTATTACGTAACACGCGCGGCGCGGACGGAACGACAGTATTACGGCACTTGCGACAGTTGCGACGTCTCTGCGCGGCAACATTGTGTCGTGCCGCCCGCGTCGCACACTGTACAGGGTGCCGCTCGTCTGTGCGACACCGTAACGTCACGGCGTATCGATACCGGACCGCGTACGGTTTTTCACGCGCCGTCGATATTGTTACCCGGTCGCACGCGCGACGTTCGCGTGCTGCGCTCGGACAGAACGCGTTCGATTATCAGCGCGGACTCGTTGAGGACTTTTTATCGGTCGGTCGACAAACGATAAGAAAAAAAAAAAACTCATAACGGCGCCTGACTACGATTGGATCGCGATCCCAGTCCCGAACACCGTCCGCGAACATTCGCTCGTGTCGCGGCCGATCGCGCAGCCACGTAAAACAATATGATGTTTTGCGCGTCTCGCACTGCGGCGTATACGCGTATACGATTTGATTCGTGCGAAACGCGCAGTTTTCGGCGAAAACGAGTTGACCGCGGTATTTTTTTTTTTTTTTATTTTCGTTAATGTTGTACCCGTACAACATCCGGAATCAAAAGCCATTACGCACGGCACACGTGTTCTGTGCGAACGTTAAAAAACCGTTAAACTCATAACGAACTAGGGAGGATTTTTTTATAATAATTTTTCACGAAATTAAATTTTCAAGTGATAAGAGCGCTTTTTGCACGGACCAAATCGTGTGATACCGTAATAACGATCTTTTCGGTGGCGAATCAACGGACAGGTACTTTTCGAGATGAAGAGCGCACAACAAATAAATCACCCTGTACACGATAACAACGTACGATATATTTATACGGCGCGTATCGTATCGGCGTACGTCACGCGCGTCGGATAACAATACGCCGGCCGGAGCGAGAGACGCGTCACGGAAATTCGGGAGCGATTGGTCGCGGTCGCGACGTCGAGAACCGAACGCATGCACGGGCCTAATCGAGGCTGCAGCCGCGAAATCACGCGGCGGTCAGAGATTTCCACCGTGGAAAATCGACGGCGGTTCCGCTGCCGACGCGTGTGCCCGAATAACAATAATAACGTACCCGCGCGCTGTCCGGCTCGGCATTCGTTTCCGTATCGTCGTCCGGGTCGCAGCACCGACACTGTTTCAGGCGCGTAGCGTCGAAAATACCGGTCGCGCGGTCGTGTGTCTTCGTCACGGTACCGTCGCAGCGCGGAGACGCCTCCAGAGTGCTCCTCGTCCGGCCCGGCCAGGACATGTGCTTGTGGAAGTTGCTGTTGTGGAAACGGCCGGCGACGGCCTCGTCCTCGGCCGACGGCAGGAACGACAACAACAACGGCAAAGGACTACGACGCGGCGGCGGCGGACAACACCGGCCGCGGCCGTCGTCATTGTCGTGGTCGTCGTCGTCCGTGCTATCGTCCGACGACGACGACCTGATGTCCGACAGCGGCATATCCAGCGGCGAATTCAGCCTGGAGAACGTGTGCGAAGACCCCTGTCCGGTACCACGTCCGCCGCCGCCGCCGCCGCCGCCGCCGCCGCCGCCGCCACCGCCTAAGGTTGACGAAAGCCGGTATGTATAACGAAATAATCATACGTATTTTACACCGCGGACGGTAGGGTACACAAACTGACAATGATTGCATTTTAGATTCCGAGTGGAGCGAGTAATGTATTGGTTTTACAGCGATGTTTATTATTATTGTTATTATTATTATTATTATTATTATGACTTTTCTGCCAGAAATTTGTCCAGTCATTTTTGAATTTTCTCGGGAGTTTTATCGATAAATTGGAAAATATCGGGAGAAAACACGGGAAAACCGGGAAAAACGTAGAAAAATCGGAAAAGTAGGTACAATATTAAACAAATATCTTATTAAAGAATAATGCGTAAGGTAATTATTTTACCATAATATGGCACAATATATTGTTGACAAAACAACACTATCAACCGAACTCTGCTCAGAATCGTTTTTTCGTTACGATAGATATACATTAAATTATTTATAACATTGGCTGCTCTTTTTTACGATTCAAACACTTTATTAACACGCTTAATATCTATACACGTTGTATGGCCATTGGCCAACTATGGAAAAATAAAAATAATTTCTCTGTGGCACATCCCTTGCTGCGGCAGCCCGGATAGTTTCACCCCCGATGCCGAGTTATGTTTTTCCACGCAACTGCCAAACGCATAAAATATATTACAATTATAATAATAGACACGTAAAAATTCAAGCTCGCTCGCTTTAATTTCCATTTATTAATTTTCTATTATTATTTTCACTATCCATTTTTCTGAAATTGATAATCTTCTTTTTATTCTCCTTATTCGTCTCTTTTCCCAACTACTTAAGGTCGGCCGTTTCCTTGGTCCCGATTCTCCACTTTCCACGTCCTGTCACATCACCTACGCTAATCCCTACTGATCCACATATCGCAATCCTTACCTAACCATCATTCTCTTGAGTATCCTTTTTGTCTACTTCCTTCTGCATTAAACCACTCAAATACATCCACTGACGAATTGCTTCTTATCAAACGTCTGGATAATCCAAATGAATTCGTTGTCACATCTATTCAATCCCTTACAAATGCATTCCTTATTCTATCCTTTCTAGTAACTCCACTCATTCAACTAAGCATTTACATTTCTGTTAAATTCATATAAATCTTTCTGTTAACTACTCTGTTAATCGGTGATCAATACAACATAGTCAGTCTCTCTAAAGTTAATTCACATTTCAACCTAATATTAAAATACACTTATACTACAGTATACTTCTGATACGTTTCTTTACCATTCTATCCAACAATCCAATCATCCGGAAGAAATCAAGAATAAGACATTAAGATATAAGTACCTACATTATTTAAAAATAATACTGTTATATTTATATTTGTAGTATTAGCTAAAAAATTACTTATAATTGAACACATGAATTGCAATTTTGTCTTTTCGAGTTATTTGTGTATACATCGTTTTTTTTTTTGTTTTTTTTTTTTTACTCGTTTATCAATAGAACTGCAAATGGAGAAATAGTGGTAAAAGTAATTTTATTTTTATCTACGATCCACAGAAAAAAAATATTTGTCCTACATAATGGTTTTATCAAAAAAAAAAATAATAACAATAATAATAAATAAATAATTGTATTCCAACAAAATAGTCCTATTTATAAACAGTAACAATTATCCAACATATACCTTTTTACAGCATATAAAAAATCCGGATTTTTATGGGGAAAAACACAACTAACACTATTATGATCAGAATTGGTTTTTTAATTTGCAATAATTCATAGTTATATACAGTATATAAACTAGATTACCATGTAATAGTATTATCTTACCTTCCCAAATACTTACCTACAACAGTGGCCTAACCAACGGGTAGTTGACTAAAATTGTTATTTTTTTTTTTTAATGAATCGATTATACTTTACTCAGTTCAAAAACTAATTGAAAACCCAGAAAATCAAATTTGTAATTTTATCAAATTTAAAAAAGACGGACATACTTCGCACGACGGGTGAGCCACTGTTATAGGTGAGAAATTTGGAAGGTAAGATAAAGAGGGGAATTTAATGTATGTCTGTACGCAACGATTAATCATTGCTAAAGAAAAACGATTTTAAGCGGAGTTTGGCTATACATTCGAAAGGCCGTAATATATACGATTTTCGTCAAAATTTAATATTAAAATTCTTATAAAAAAAATTCTACGTTTCACTAAATTTTTTTTTTTACCACAAAGTTTAACTTATAATGAACCTCCTGTTAAATTTTCAAGCATTTCTGTTTGCTCTAATAATTTTATCCACAAAGTACCTACCGAAAAAAATGACGTAAACAATGCACAAAAGTTAAATATCTATAAATAACTCAAAAATAGCGACAATTTTTTGAAAATTTGACTACGTTAAGAAAAATCAAGTATACATTTTTTCTCAAAATTTCAATTCTCCACAAATATTTTTAACTAGATCACAACTAAAAAACAAAATTTAATATAAAACATTTTGTAAATATTCCCGTTTTTCCTACGTTTTAACCTGGGTTATTATGAAAACCCCTTGGAAAATCAATAAGTTTCTTCACTCAAATACCATCTAGACAAAATATCCTCTCAGAAAAAGCACCACATTTGAAAATTGGAGTAAGATTTTCAATAGAAACGTTATTTACAGGTTAAAAAAAATATTGGAAAATCAATACATTCGTCGCTTCAGAATCTAAAACCCGAATATTGTGTAGTCCGGTTTTCATCGTTCTGATATTTTCGGATTTACGTCACATCGCTGATACCTACTAAAAATGGGTTTGAGGATATCGGATAAAACCATTTTTATTTTATTTTTTTTTTTGGTCCGGTATTGAAAATCTAGGGGGTGCCGTCTCCCTCGTCCCCACGCGGACGTCTCGGACAAGTCGTCTGCGGCGGGTGCCGGTCAACGGAAACACACGGCGCCGTACCATAACAACGCAGCGCGCACGGCTCGAGTAAAACGCGCCCGTCACGCGTAGTCGCTCTTCGCGTTCGCCCGGAAACCACCGCGGTCCGGCGACTCGGCGCGTCTTCGTTCCGGCCGGACACATAGCTGCGGTGTTTACGTTTCTACGACCGTTAGTTATCGCGCGTCGAAAAGCATTTTATCGTAGTCGAAATCGAAATCGCGAGCTACGGTAGCGTACAGTAAACTGCACGGCCGGTCGGCTATTACGACATCGTTTCTAAACGGCGTGCACGGCGGACCGGCCGCGGGCGGCTGTCCCGAGTCCTCCGCGGGGACCGACAGTCATGTCCGGCACGTCGTACGCGGCGCAACCGCAGCACCAGTGCCTTCAAAACATCAGCCGCAGCATTCGCCGTGCGCTGACCCGGTCGGCCGTCGACCGACAGTTTAACGCGCAAGTTTTGCGCGCCAGCGGCACGGGCAACTTGAACTACTTGGGCTTCGTGGCTCGGGTGCAACCCGACCGTCTGCGGTGGGCCTGTGACGACCGCGGCGCGATGACGTCCCACTTCGCCGCCCGGAACGGACAGTTGACCGTGTTAAGGTGACGTTTCTTCGCGCGACGGCGGCGTCGTTCGGATAAACCGTTAATTTTCTAATTTTTTTTTTCTACCCGCGCGCTTAATTATGACAATATTTTATGCAAAAAATCAACAGAGAAAAAAAAAATCCGTACGAATTATATTGATGATTGTACGTCGGGTGTCTGTAGGTTTTTGAAAATTCACGGGATACGAAATCTGAACAAGAAATCGTCCACGGGATTGACGGCCCTGCACGAGGCGTCCGTCAACGATCACCTGGCCTGCGTGGAATGGCTGTCCAAGTACTCGGGATGTAAGCCTACCGAAAAGGACGAGAACGGATGCAACGCCCTTCATCTGTCTTCCAAGTAAGTTGTCGTTTTTTTTTTTTTTCAAGTATTTCAGTGTGCAGTTAAAGTATAGCATGTAGAATAGTTTTTTTTTTGATAAACCGATCTGATATTATAAACCAATGTATTCGTACACATAATACCACCACCTCTCTGTACAAACTAAATATTAATAGGTAGTCAATAATTGTCATTGAATAACGCACAATAGCTGTAGTGACTACTGCAGGTACAGTGACAGTACCGGGCCACTGTCTACCCGGTAAACAGACACCGACTTGACTAAACCAAACCCAATCTAAAATCACTTTGCAACACTGTATCTATACGTATAAGAAGTTACATCGGAGACAATGATACCAAAAGGTCATAATACTATTCCGAATATTTAGATACAATCAATAACTGTTTCGCACAAAATTATGTTAGTGATATCACGTTTTTTTAACGGTATATTATTATATTGATATTGTGTTATTGCGACAAAAAAAAAAAAAAACAAAAACAAAAACCCCCGAGAAGCAGAGCTAGAATCGAATTCTCTCGAGACTTGTCGTCTCATTACAATATTTAATTTTTTTTTCGCTCGTACGATTGATCTAAAATGTGTTCACGTTTGCTAGAGTTTTATTGCATTGTAGCCTGTATGGGCATATTTAAAACCCGGTATTTCCTGTGAAAACATGAAATTTGAGCGCACACAAAAGTGGGTTGAAAGTTAAAACGTCCAAAAGCCACGTCCTCGATACTTGTAACGTGCGTATATTATACGAAATGTCATCCGCCGGTTTCATTTGGAGGGGAAGGGAGGGGATGGGTGTGTAAGGGTGTGCGAAGTTAAAAAAACATCCACAACGGCGCGGTCGAGTTTTTCATATCGAAATTTACACCAAACTACCAAACTACTGTTGTATCGCGTCGATCCGCCCGCAAAACAATTATAAATCCCGAGTCATTTGGTCAAATACAATAATCTCTATTCTCGGTGACAAATCGACGAAAAGAAAAAAATACGTGTATGTATGCATATTACAAAACGTAATATGATACATCAATAAATACGGAGAAAAATTCCGTCTGGAGTGTTGTATGCAAATATCGGTTGTGCATATTTACGGCCGGTATCGATTTTAAAATTCACCGTCGGATAATAACCGCTACCGGCAACAGAAACGGAAAACAATAC